CCCCTCCACGGCCCTCCCCCCTCCACGGCCCTCCCTCCCCTCCAGCTCTCCCCCCTCCACGGCCCTCCCTCCTCCACGGCCCTCCCCCCTCCACGGCCCTCCCCCCTCCACGGCCCTCCCTCCCCCCACGGCCCTCCCCCCTCCACGGCCCTCCCTCCCCTCCAGCCCTCCCCCCTCCACGGCGCTCCCTCCCCCCACGGCCCTCCCTCCCCCCAGCCCTCCCCCCCTCCACGGCCCTCCTTCACCCAGGGCCCTCCCCGGGAGCCTGACCGGCGGCCGCACTCACGTCGTCCATGAGCAGGAGCAGGATGTTGGGGGGCTTCGGGGCGCCCACGGCCCCGAGCCCAGCGGCGCTCAGCACCAGCAGCAGCCGCCATCTCGTCGCCGCGGCAACGGGCGCCATAGCAACCGCCCCCGGCGCCTCCAGGCCGGGCCCGCGACTGGAAGCGGCGGGCGCGCGGGCGGCGTTTCCCGCCGGCGGCGGGGCGGGGCCGAGGCGGCCGCGTGACTGGCGGCGGGGTCACGTGACGGGGCGCGCGGGCCTCCAAGATGGCGGTGTGCGTGGCGGTGATCGCCAAGGAGGTGAGCGCGCGGGCGGGACGGCGGGCTGCGGAGCCCTGCCCGGGCCGCCGCCCCGCTGCCGCCTCCCTGCCTGCCCCGAGGGCTCCGCAAGCACGGGCTCCGCCGCGCCGGGCTGGGGGCGCCGCGGGGAGGCTCCGCCCGCGCCCGCGTCTGCAGCGGCGGGAGGGTCGGCCCCGGCGCCCCGCTTGCGTCCCCCGTCCGTCCGCCGGCCCGGCGGCTCTCGCTCGCGAGCCCGCTGTCCCCTGGTGTTCGTCCCGCTGCGCTGCGCTCTCCCGCCCGGCCGCCTCGCCGCCCACTCCGCGGCCCGCGGTCCCTCCACGCAGCAGCCCGGGCTGGTTCCAAAACCTCACGAGAGCGCGTCACGCCCCGGCCCCAGGGCTCCGCAGGGGCTTCTCAGGGCCTCGCGGTGACGTCAGAACAACTTGGTCGCCTCCTCCCCTTCTCCCCTAGCCAGCCTCTCCCACCCCGCCAACCCGGAGCTCCTCTGACAGGCTCTGCTTGCTCGCCTCCGGGCCTTTGCACCTGGAAACCCACCGCCGCCCTCTCACGCTGGCCACCATAGATTTCGTCTCCTCCAGAAGGCTGTGTCTGAATCCTAAGACCGAGCGCGGTTTCTTACTGCACAAAGCGTTGATTCCCTGTGTCTTCTATAAGACCGGGCTTATGAGGTGGTTCTTATGGAAGTTCTTCAAGGGATGCCTCCTGTCGTAGCGCATGACACGTTATTTATTTGTCGGGTTTGTGGACTGTCCTTCACCAGAGATCAGCCCCATTAGCACAGGGACAGCATCATGTTTATTCTATCTGCAGCACCAGGCACGGGACAGAATCAGTGCATTGTGGCATGTGGGGGCCCTCTTAAGACCTTTTAACCCCTCGGGTTAGGATGGTAGGAATTAGCCATGCAGAGATGAAGGGTGGTTTGAGCTGAGCCTGGACAGGGTTTAGTGGGAGGGCACGTCAGTGCTTCTGCCAACGTGAAGAGAGTGCAGTAGGTACGCATGGGGAAACAGCTAGTATTTATGGGCTGGGAGGAGAGCACGTGCTAGGACTGGGCCCTGCACAGAAGCTGAGTGACTTTTCCGGCTGTCTGGGTTGTTGTCAGGCTGTGCTCAGACCCACTGTTTCTGCCCCCTTAGTGATGCTCCGTGCAGAAGGGAGGTAAACCTCAAGATTGACTGGGTTCCCCAAAGACACTGCCTACAGCCCTTTGGAGGAGTAAACAATGGGTTTTAGAGAATGAGAGTGTGCGTCCCTGTGCCTAATTGGCTCTTGGCCAGTCCTCCGTTCTGAGTGCTCTGGGGCCTCATCCTCGAGGCCTGTGTGCCCAGGGTGGTTTCTCAGCATTTCAGTTCCGGCATCCTTTCTTGCAGAATTATCCTCTTTACATCCGCAGCATCCCCACCGAGAATGAGCTGAAGTTCCACTACATGGTGCATACATCCCTGGACGTGGTGGACGAGAAGATCTCTGCCATGGGGAAGGCCTTGGTGGACCAGAGGGAGCTCTACCTGGGCCTGCTGTACCCCACAGAGGACTACAAGGTGTATCCTTCACACCTGGTGGGGGGCCTGCCAGCTGGTGGTCTCTCTCCACAGGGTTTCACGTTTGGAGATCCCGCCTCCCGTTTCAAAGTGTACTGTAGGATCAGGTGACCTTGAAAGACCCAGTGTCGCTTGGAAAGAAAGTGAGAGCTTTCAACCAAAGGGAATTAGGGCAGCTTGAGGCTAATTGAGATGTCACACCGTTTTTTACTTGGGAGGATAATGTGGGAAAAGCTGGGCATGAATTCCCTGGAGAAGTGTGGCAGTCTGCATCTGTCCCTCGTCTGGTTTGCAGAAGAACCAGGAACCTTCCTCCTTCATGCCTGTGAGGACAGCTTTCCAGGCTCTGTCTGCTGGGCCACCACCTCTGAGCAAGGACAGTTCTCCTTCCATCACCAGGCCCAGCCCCGTAGGCCCCCGTCATAACTTGACCAGTCCCTTGGGACAAATGGCATGAAACCCATGGAGTGCAAAGCTAGCCCCACAAGTAGTAATGTAGCTTGCCTTCCATGACATCTGCCCGGGAGCCACTGTTCTACCAGATAAAGTGGCCTTTCGTGGCATGGGTGCTTTAGGCAGGGTCTGCCTGATTCTTGGGCCTCCAGTTTTGCAGTTAGCACTGCTGGGCCAGGAAGTGATTGAGAATGAAGTTGAGGTGCCCCAGGGTCTGGGCAGGTGGGCCCCAAAGCTTAAGTCCGAACAAGGCTTAGCTGCCTCCTGTAAATGCCAAAAGCTGCCCCAAGGAAGTGTGTGGTCCACCTAGTATGCCCGTGGGGTCCTCCCGGTATTGTGGGAGGTACCTGGGGTCCCTTCCGTGATGCAAGCTTGTCCTGTTTCTCCAAAGTGGCTTTGGAGCCAGGGGCTGTGCACAGATGGCCCTCGGCTCACACACCCTCCATGGTGGTGCCGTGCCTTGTGGTGTCCTAGAGTCCCTGAGTTAAATGCATGTTCCCTAACCAGCTGTGCAGGTACGGCTACGTGACCAACTCCAAGGTGAAGTTTGTCATGGTGGTGGATTCCTCCAACACAGCGCTTCGGGACAACGAGATCCGCAGTGTAAGTACCGGGGTGTTTGCAGGCTGTGCCTGGGCCAGTGCGTTTTCTCTTTTTCGCTTTGTTTTCAGATGCTCAGAAGTCAGAAATTTGGCAGCAGCCGTGTGTACCCGTGAACTGACACCATTGGTTCTTGTCTCAGATGTTCCGGAAGCTGCACAATTCCTACACGGATGTGATGTGCAATCCCTTCTACAACCCCGGGGACCACATTCAGTCCAGGTGAGCTGACTGCTGTGCAGACCCTTCCTTGCTGAGAGCCGTTGTTCTCAACGTGCGGGAGGGAAGGTCTGTCTCAGCGAGGGGCATCGTTCCTCTAAGGAGTGAGTGATTCTGAAGCAGCAGAACCCTGTTTTCACAATAAACTCTTACGTGGATATCCAACATATAAAACAGACGGGAGAGGATTGGGGGGCAGGGCAGGGCATAGACCTTGCCCTCTCGGTTTCCCAGGTATGCCCACTTAGTCCGAGAGCCCCCACAGAACCCAGTAAGGGCCCAGGCATGTGGCAGGACCTTAGTGAGAAAACGTCTTCCTGTTCCTGCCCCGTTTGTCTTGGTCATTGAACTTGAATAGTTAGGAAATTGGATTGTAGGTTTCTTCCACGTAGTCCTGCAATAGACACAGACGTGACATTGGGACATCACAACGATTGTATAAAGAAGCGTTTGCATGCACACATTCCACATCTGCTCTTGGGAATTCCCTACATGCCTACACGTGGTTCCCAAGGGGCTCCTTGTAGGCAGCAGGTGAGAGGATCCTGACCCGAGCCAGGCCCTTCCCATGGTGCCTTCCCTCAGCCATGATGCTGTGTCTCAGTTCATCCTGGGCCCCAGGTGAGAGAAACAGGTGCTGGTACGGAGAATCCTATGTGCAGGACAGGGACGGCCCCTGCCCCTCCACCCCTCCCTGGAGATCCAGCTCCGGCGGGACTATGGGAACCGCATAGGGCGTGAGGGGGCATGAGACTTAGCTTCCCGCTGCCGGGGTGGCAGGACACTGGCCTCGCGGCTGAGTGTACCTGACTGGGGAGGGACTGTCCCGGTCCCGGGTCATGGGTGGTGCTGCAGAGCCCCAGCCGCTCCTCTGATGGCTGTCTCTGTCCGCAGGGCCTTCGACAGCATGGTGACGTCCATGATGATCCAGGTGTGCTGAGCGAGGTCCTGCTGCCGTGCTGGAGGAGAGGCCCTGTGGGCATAACTGTACTGCTCAGAGGGAGATTCATGATCATTTGCCTATTCCCCAGCGCCACAGACGGGCTGCCTGGGTGCAAGGTCTCAGGCACGGTGCGTGCAGACTAAAGGTCCTCTGAGAATGGATTTGGCGTTTTCCTTGTGTCAGCAGAGAGTTTAACTGAAGAGTGTGGCGCGGGCCTCTCCAGGATGGCGCACTGCTCGGGGACCAGACAGAACAGGGAGGCACGAAGGGACAGGGAGGGGAGGTGGGAGAGCCCACGGAGCTTCGGGCCCTAAAGATGCTGCAGCTGCAGGGGGAGCAGAGGGAGGTGCAGAGGGACTTGTGGGTGGGTCTGTGCTCCAGAGGCTGACCTGGCCAGAGCCAGATCTAGAGGGCCCTCCTTCCCCCCTCCCCATACAGCCCACACACCTCCCCCTGCACTGCAGGAGGGGCCTTCATGTCTCCAGTCTTGCGCCTGGCCTCAGGAGCACCCCTTACAGCGCCAGGGAGCTTTGACTCGGCTCGTAGGTTGCCTCTGGCTTGCCGAGGATGGAGTGAGCAGTCCCAGAGGCCTCTTCCTCGGGGTGCACCTGGCAGTTCCTCACGGCCCGAGGGCCAGGCTGGGTTAGAGGAGTCCCCGCTCACTTGCTGCCCCCGCAGGCCCCCGAGCTGGCGGGGGGAGGGGGTCACATTTGGGATGGAGCTGGCGGGATTGGATTTCTGCACTCTGCCTCCCCGGAGGCCTGCTTGGCCAAGTCCATGTGACAGTGCCTTCTGGGATCAGCTGGCCCAGGCTCTAGTACCCTTTATCATTTGTTTGGCACACTGGCTTTGAGTCTCGGCCCCAAGACAGCTGCGAATCCCTCCCTCCCCTTTCCAGCGTGCCAGAGAAGGCCTCTGACAGGAGGAGGGCAGCTTCGGGGCCCCTGGGCAACAGGGAAGGCTGCTGGCGCCAGGATGAGACTTGCACACCTCTGCACTGCCTTCCCTTCCCCTCTGAGGAACACGGGAGTCGTGTTCAAAATCAGAGAAGTAGAGGGAGAACTCAGTCAGGACTGGGTACTAAACACAAGTCCCAGCACACCACCTCCCGCGGCAGGTGGAACACCTAGGGTGGGACTGAGAGGCACCGACCACCGGGCGCTGGTTCAGATGCCACCCACACACCTCTGGTTGAGCTTTGGTGGTAATTGCTCCTGCCTGAGTGGTGGCTGTGGGGGGGCCTGCAAGTTGCCAGCTTGCTGCTTTGCAACAAAGGCCCAGTGTTACTGGCTACAGTTGACTAGACTCTCCGTAGCACACAAGGGTAGGTAGTTATGGCATGAAAGTGGATGGTGTTGGGATAGACTTGCAGGAAAGATACTTTGAAGGGGGATTCAGCTAGCAGATGGAGTACCCTTCCCTCATCTTTTCCCTTCTGGATCTTGGATGTGATGGCTGGAGCTAAGGCAGCCCTCTTGAAAGTATGAGGAAAAGCTTTATCTCCTAAGGATGGGGAGCAGAAAGCTAGAAGGAAGATGGGTTTTGCTGACATAGGCCAGGACTTTTTATAGTCAGCATTTTGTAGAGGAAAATAAAATAAACTGCTGTCTTGTTGAAGCTGCTGCTATTTGGGTTTTTCTGTAGGTGCAGACAGACCAGCCCTTAAACGTGCTTTACACTCGGGAGTTTTCACACACATCGTTAGGTAGCATCCCCGTTTTACGCCTGAGAAAAGCAGGGATCAGAAGTAATGTGCTGGCCCACGTGCTGCCAATGGAACTGTCCTGTGAGGGTTTCCCATCATCCTTTAGCAGTTCTGTACCTTGAGGCCAGCCTCCTCGTGGGCCTCCTGCCCGCCTGGACTCCATCCTAGAGCTGAGCCCCGTTGGGTGCCGCTCCCAGTCAGCTCCTAGCTGTTGTTCGGGTGACTGCTCCCTGTCCTTCCTTCTGCCCCCGACCAGACAGGGGGCCTGTATGTCTCGGCCTTCTCCAGGCACGGCCACGTAAGGCCACTCAGCAGCTCACCGCTTGGAGCCCTCGCCACCCAGGTGGCCGCCAAGTCGGGAGCGTCCTCCATCCTCCGTCTGTCTTGGTCGGCTTGGGCCCAAAATCCAGGGGTGAGGAGGGATTCCTAGGCCCGCTCTCTCTTCAGAGCAGCCACACAGAAGGGGTTAGGAAACTCTTCTGAAAGTGAACCAGCTTGGGGGGGAGGGGGCGGGTGGAGACTGCCAGCGTGCATGGTGAGCGCCTCAAGACGGAGGCAAATCTCCCCTCACCGCGGAGGGCGAGCAGCCCCTGGGTGCCGAGCAGGCAGGATCCGGTGTCACCCGCGCGGTGCCACATAAGCTTCAGCCCAGGGAACTGTGTCCAGGTGGCGAGCCTCGTCTGCGCCCTCCTGACTGCCCCTGGTCCAGGCCACGCCCGGCTCTGCCCTGACAGCCCCTCCTTCCTACCTTCTCACAGGATGGGCATGTGTGAGTGAGTGAGCGGGCAGGAGAGAACAAAGAAATGTCCTCCCAGTTCCGGAGGCCAGAGTCAGGAATCAAGGGGTCAGTAGGGCCAGTTCCTCCGGGAGGTTCTGAGGGAGGATCTGGTCCGTGCCTGTCCAGCTTCTGATGGCCGCCAGCAGTTCCTTGGCTTACAGACACAACACTACAATCTCTGCCTCTTTCTTCGCATCCTCTCTGTGGGTCTGTGTCTCATTGGATTTAGGGCCCACCCAGATGATCCAGGATGATCCTGACCTTTTCTCAAATAAGGTCACGTTCGCAGGTTCTGGAAATTAGGGTGTGGACATTTTTTAGGGGGGCATCGTTTGCCCCACTCAAGGGCAGACTTGACCCCAGATCACGGGGAGTGAGAAGCTGGCCTAAGAGGACGCCAGAGACAAATGCGGGTGGAGAGCCAAGGGGTGGCGGTCCCCCCACCCCACCTTTGGACTCCCTGTGGATTGCAGCCCTAGCAGCTCTGTTCCTGGCATAAAGAATTGGTAGGTAGGCTAACAAGCCGAGTGGCTTTGGAACAGCCCAGCGAGGGTTCCTCGGCAGCTACTTAGGTCCAGAGCAAAGGGAGTTTTCCCTCCCCAGCCCTGCAGTGCGAAGGAGCACATACTGCAATTCAGGGAGGAAGTGGGGCGTGTCTGCGGCAGAGCGGCCGCAGTCGGAGTGCCCAGCGTGGGGAACTTCTGACAAGGGCCAGGCCTGGGCCAGGAGCCCAAGGTGCGTGCCCTCCCACAGTGCCTCACACTGTGTCCCTCACTGTGGGGGGCAGCACAGACCCGGAGGCCTGCTGTCACGTGCTTTTAAAAACTACTGAAATTTAATTTATGCTTTACCATTAAGACACATTTCTACTTTTCCTTAAAAAGACTTGGAGAGCCCCAAGCTGCCTCAGCGCTAGCTGCCTGAAGCTTTGCTCAGTAGCCTTCCAAAGCCCCGAGTGGCACAGGACCCACCTGCACCCCCGTGGTGTCCGGTTTCATGCAAGACTTATGGCTCCGACTGGGGGCGCTGCGCAGTTTTTCCCGCCGAGAGCACAGCTGTTTACTCCTGACCCTCCCCGGCCCCACTCTCAAAATCCCATTCTCCCTTCAGTTCGGCGAATACTACAGAGAGAACCTTCCACGGCCCCGGCGTAGAGAAAAGGGGGCGTGAGCGCAGGCCCCGCCCGGGCCCCGCCCACCAGTTCCGCCCCCGCTGTCTGAAGCAGGCCCCGCCCCCGCCTCGGGGTTCCCCCGCCCCCGGGTTCACCCCGGCCCCGCCCACCGGTTCCGCCCCCGCGGACTGAAGCAGGCCCCGCCCCCACCCGGGTTCCGCCCACCGGGCCCCGCCCACCGGTTCCGCCCTCGTGGTCTGAAGCGGGCCCCGCCCCGGAGACTGCTGTGGGGGAAGGGTCCTCCTCTGGCGCCTTAATGTCCTTCCAAGCCCCCGCGGTCCGTGGAGCTGATCCCTGGCAAGTTGGTCCTTTTGGGCAGCACCTGGGCCGAAGGCTGGGTCCCTCTGAGACACTTGTTCTCCTCCCCGCCTCCCCAGCGCAGCCTTAATGGAGCGCAGGGCAGAGCCCAGGGCTAAAGCTGCCTCCAGGAAGCCTTCTTGGGTTTCTCCGCTGGAGGCTCACAGGCAGGTGTGAAGCGGTTACACCCCGCAGCTCCTGGCGTGGAGCTCTGGGGCATCAGACCCTAACTTGTTCCCAGCCTCCTCAAAATTCCCACTCAGACCTGAACTGTCCAGCCACAGACATGGTCAGGTGATGTGCCCCTGTGGACCCAGCATCCCCTAAGTGTCCAGCTGGGGAAGAGAGCCGCGCCATGCAGTGGCGACCCGCTGGGCCCTGAGGCAGCCACCCCTCCACCCGCGGATGTGCCCAGAGACACTGGGGGAGTGGAGAAGGGTCGTGGCCTCTCCCTATGCCTGCGTTTCCTGGTCCCCCAGGGATTCATGGGTTAACGTGGTTTAGGGAACACACCTTGAGGACTCGGCCTCGGAAGATGCTCTCATCCAGCTCCACTGCAGCCTGGGCTGAGCTCTTGGCGGCAAACTCCATGTAGGCATAGCTGGGGTAGGCGGGCAGGGTGGGGGAGGGCCACCCCGGGATGCCTGGGCTCCACAGTACCCCAGGGCGCCTGGCCCCTCTGGAGCCGCCCTCCCTGAGCCCCCCACCCCCCGCTCCCTGTTGCCTGGCTGGCACTGACCCCTTGGGGTGTTCGGAGAACTTGTCGCACGGGACGGTGACCTGGTGGCCCTCCCCGCAGGGGTTGAAGTAGGATTCCAGATGCTCCGCTGTGCCCCCGCAGTCCACCTGCCACAGGTACGCCCCTGGTGGTGGGGGGCCTCCCGCAGAGGCCTCGCTCTCCCGGGGGCTCCCACAGCATGTTTTCTCGGTAGAGAGGTTGATTAGACCCCGGGGTGGAGTTAGTAGCCGTTGCCTTGGTCCCCCACCCCTGCTGGGGGTGGACTGCAGACAGAGACGTCCACCCTCCATGTGTGAGATGACCCCCTAAGTTCATCTGGCCTGTCCAGGCAACAGGTGGCTTTTTACAGTGGGATTTGTGGCCAGGGTGATTGGCCAACGGGAGATTCCCGTGGCAATGCTGAATCCCAGCATTTCCCGTCGGGAAACCAGAATGCCTGAGGACACAGGGCCCATGCTCCCTCCTGGGGCGGCGCACCCCCCAGCCAGGTCCTGTCCTCTGGCTTCTCCCCTCCTGAGCCTTTGTCCCTTTCTTTAATCCTCAAAGCCAGGAGGAGATGGCCTACCTTGGGTGCCCACTGCCCCATCTTGCCCCCTCCCGGACTCACATTGCCCACATAGACGGATCTGTGGTCCGACTCCACCTTCTCCACGGGGCTCCCGGGGCAGGGGCAACCTACCGAGAGGGGGGCCCCAGGACGGGTCTCACCGCAGGTTGGGGGGCTCCCGGCAGCTGCTAAGGGCAGGCACCTCACAACAGTAAGTTGTGGCTTATTCCTCACTCCTTGGGGAAGAGGGTCACCCCCAGGGACTGTTCTGGAAGGGCTTACTGCACACCTGCCCCGGCCAGGCCCGACGCATGGAGACCCCAGACTCTCCCTGTGGGCCGGCCCTGTGCCTGCAGCAGCTGCAGCCCACCCAGATGTACCGACAGGGAAGGGGGGCTCGGAGCCGTGTGCCCAAGGACTCGTGGCCCACCCACCAGGGAAGGGGTTGGCCTGGCCTGCTGGCTCCTACCTGCCCCGGGGCTCAGTACGGCGCCTGCGCTCTCCTCCTCCGCGGCTTGGCCCTGCGCCCCTGGCGTCTCCGGCCCTTGGGCCTGCTCCATGGCCCACAGCTTCAGTTTGATGGCCTCCAGCTTCTGCCAGCATGACCCCAGGTGGAGCCCAGAGGCAAGATGGCCCCTAGGCTCCTCTCGAGGGAGGGCAGAGGGGAACAGGCATGAGCCTGTCTGTCCTCAGGGTCACTGGCTCCAGGGGGACATGCTGGAGGGAGCAGGAAGGCCGTGTGGACTTGGGCCCTGCCATCCTCCCCAGCCTTGCAGGGTTGGGCATACCCACAACCCTCTTCCATGCCAGGGACAGTGGCCTGGAAAAGGGTCAGGGCTGCAGCCATTGGTCCCCCTGAACCCATGCACAAGTTTCTGAGGTCCCTGGCTGGCCTCCGCTGGGCTCCACGTGGGTGTTACCTAGTCAGGCACCCGGTACTTAGCCAGGTCCTCCCCCTCCAAGAGAGACAGGAGGAAGCCTGCATCTTCATCTTTCTGGTCTTCCTCTGCTTTCCCTGGCTCCTCTTACTTCCTGTCCCCAACCCCTGGCCCCAGAGGGGGCTTCTCGGCCCTGCTCCAGGCCCCCCAGCCCAGGGCCTCAGGGTCTGGGGAAACGCTTTGCAGCCAGGCCTCGGTAGGGGGTGGGAAGAGAGTGTGGCTGAGGAACGGCCACATGCCACATCGGTGGATGGGGGGATGGGGGAAAGGCAGCCTCCCTTGCTCACCTTCACAGCAGCACCTGCCCTCCCCCAGGGTTTTAAGCTCCTCCCCAGGCCAGGTGCTCCCTCGAGAGTCCGCGGGGCTGACTTCCAGCCCCAGCTTCTGGGCCCTGCACCTTCTTCCTCTCGCAGGACCCTTGAGGTGCAGAGAGGACTGGTGCGGAGGCAGGGCCGGGCAGGGTCTTCTCCTGCATGAGCTCCACCATGCTCACCACGACACCTGCTCAGGGTCACACCTCCAGTGGCAGGCCACGGGGAGGATGACATGGGCAGAAGTGAATTCCCCAAGGGTGCACAAGCGGGAAGGATGGCACGTGGGATGAGGGCAGCCCTCCTGGAGGAGACGGCGTTGGGGCTGCCCTAGAGGGACTGGTCAGGCAGGCTGGGGCAAGGACGGTGTGGGTGGAGGGACCAGTGTGAGCAAAGGCCTGGCGGGGTGAGGGCAGGCATGTGCCACAGGAGGTCAGAGGCCCGTGGTCTGGGCAGGGTAGGGCCCCGTCCCTGCTCTTGACACCCCCGTCCATTGCCCGTGGACACTCCTCTCCCCCTCCCTCGTTCTGGACCAGGGCAGGTGGGAGCCGGAGTCCTGCCCTGACTACAGGTCACAAACGTACAATCAGGTGCAGATCTGTGATGGACACTTGTAAAGTCTCTGGCTTCCAGGCCAGCCTGGGCCCCTCACTTCTCGCCCCTGGAGGGCAGCTGTGGGCCTGTGTCCCCATGTGCCCTGGCCTCCATCTGTCTTCACTGAAGCGGCTGTTCTGGCTGGCCTCAGTCTGGCTCAGCCTCGGGGGAGCTCCTGCTCCGTGTTTACGGGGGCCCCCTCTGGGCATGTCTGCCCACCCCGGCCCAGAGCCCCCCACTCCAGGCCGTAGCTGGTAGGTCCACACTGGGCCCGTTGGGGTCTCTTCCCTGGGGACTTGGGAAGGGGGGAGCTGCGTCTTACACGGAGCCGGCCTGTGGGAGCACCTGCCGAGGCTGCTCTACCCTTGGGCCCAGGCCCTCTTCCCAGGTCTCCAGGCTCTGCTCTCTCACCACCCGGTGGAATCTCTTGGCCCCTAGCGGCTGCCTGGCCTCCTCAAGCACCTCGCTCCTTGCCGGCCACACCCCCTCGCTCCCGAGTCCACACAGGCACATGCACTGCACCGCTGTTTCCAGGAAGCCTCCCTTATTGCTCCTCCTTCCGCCAGGACTCCCCCTCGGTCTCCCCTGGCAAGTCATGGTGCCTCAAGGGCAGCATGCATGTCTGCACTGAGCACAGGGCCTCGGCCCCAGGCTGTCTACGTGAGGATGAAGTACAGCCATCTCTCCTGTAACACGAGGCCGTCAGGTCCCCTGCCTCCTGGGGGTCGGAGGCCCCATGGAGGGCCTCTGGCCTGGGCCCTTCCCTCCACTTCCACGTGGGAGGCAGAACACCATGGTGGCTGTGTCCAAGCCAAGAGCCAGCTGGACTCAGGCCGGGCCCCCCCCTCCGCCGCCAGCCTCCGTCTGAGTTCAGATCTCTGCAATGGAAAAACGCTGTCAGCCTGCTCTCTGCCGGGACTGCTGACACACCAAGCCCAGCTGGGGCTCCTGCCAGCCGCCTGGCGTGGGGACAGACTTGCCCCCATGCTGGCCTTTCCAATGACGCCTTTCAAATACATCATGTTCCAAGCCGGAGCCCAAGTATTAATAACACCCCTTCCTCCCAGGGACTGCCAGCACACCACGAATGCCAAGTTCTGGGCATCCGAATCTGGCTAGGACCTGCCCTGGGAGCCAGGACACCCTGGTTGCGACACCCTGGCTCCTTGGGGTCAAGGTGTCCCTTTCCTCACTGTCCTCTTTTAGGGTCTTGTGGAACATGCCCGGCACAGCCACAAACCATGGGTGTCAGCTGGGGCCCAAGGTCGTCCAGATCACCTTGAGGACCCAGCTTTTGAAAGTTCACCCATGTGGCAAGAGCACAGGAGGCTGTGGGTGAACTGCGCCAGGGGGTCCATTCCCATTCACACCCCAACTTACGTCACCTGTTTGTTCACCACCCCCACGGGGCAGGGCCTTGTCTCTTGCTTGGCACCGAGAAAGCGCCCCCCCCATCAGACACGGCTTCCCCGCGGTCACCGGAACCAAGGAGAGGCACAGCCCCGTGATGGCAAACGTTGGCTTTATTACACGACACAGATAACGGACGTGACCTGAATCATGACGTCTTACAGCACCCAGGTCAAACAAAGCACATCAGGGGACACACAACGGGGACGGCATGCCATGGGTTCCACAGCGCTGAGGAAAGCCCGTCACAGGAAAATGAAACAACACTCGCTCCAACTCCTTTTGAGGAGTTTAAAAAAAAAAAAAAAAAAGGAGAAGAGGAAAAATCCATCCAATCCCCATGAGCCTGTTCCCAGGGCCTGACACCCTGGAGGCCAGCCTGGCTGGGCCCCCTCGTCCCTGTGGACAGCAAGGGTGTCCACTGCCTCTGTTCTAATATTTAAAAAACAGGCTCCAGTTTGAGTCCCGACGTATCACAAGGGGTCTTTGGGGTGGCACTCCAGCAGCCAGCTGAATTGAAACAAAAGGAATAGAAAGCATGCAAAATTGAGTTTTCCAGAACTGTGGGGGACCAGATAGGTGCTGTCGCAGATGCTGGGCTCCCCAGGCCTTATGTACCCCCAATCTAGCTCCTTGTGTTCTGTTTTCTCCTCCAATCCTGCTAGCAGGACCATCGTCTGGGGAACTTGCGCCCAGTCCCATTTTGGAAAATATCCCGTGTGGCATGGGAGCCTGGAGCTAGGAAGTGCGGGGCCTCTAGTGTCCCAGAGATCTGCGCCCCTCTCCCCCCGCCCACGCCATCAACCAAATTCAGCTTGGGCAGGGTCTGTTCCTATAGCTCTCCAGAGCCCTAAAGGGCTAATTTCCAGAGTCTGGTAGCCCAGGATGGAGGATGGGAGTGGGAAGGAGGCAGAGCGAGCCATGCATACCCGGGGAGAAGAGCTCCAGAAGCACTGGCATCTTTCTGCCCCTCCCCCTCCTTTCCTGAGGACACCTCCTCCGGGCAGTGACCCTTGGAGACAAGGACAGGACACCCACAATGTTGGGGTCTTGCCAGGGAATGTGCTCACCCTGACTGGTGGCTCTGGTCACAGGGCCCCTGAGCAGGTGTGTGGGCCATCTCCCAATGAGTGCTCCTGGCCCATGGCCACCACACTTGCCAGGCTGGCCCAGACTGGCCAAAGCTGTTGCTAGGACATTGGTCCAGTCTACTTACAATGCCTGCAGCAGAGCTTTATCTGTCCCTGGAGCAGGCCTGGACCAATGGTTGAGGCACTGGGGAAGCTTGCTGAGCCGACAGGCAGATTCCTTTAGGGCAGTCGAGGTCATGGGAAGATCCAAATTGCCCTTGTTGCTTTGGAATACTGGGGGACTTGGTGATGCTACTCTGGGTTCAGAGGATGGAAGTGGACAGGGTGGATGGACTGAGGCATGGCTGTGTGGGTTAGATTGGAGAAGAGATGGACAGATATGTGACTGGTATGTATTGGGGTGGATGGTGAATAGAGAGGTGATTAAGTGAAAGTTTGAATGGGGGAGGGTGGAATCAAGTGGCAGCTGGGATAGAGTAATAGATGGACAGATGAATGGGTGGGTGTTTGGCTGAATGGGTGAGTTGGTGGGTGGGTGGATGGATGGATAGGTGGATGGAGGGATGGGTGGGTGGATAGGTGGATGGGTGGGTGGATAGGTGGATGGATGGATACATGGATGGGTGGGTGGATGGGTGGATGGATGGATAGACAGATGGACGGGTGGGTGGACGGGTGGATGGACAGGTGGGTGAATGGATGGGTGGGTGGTTGGATGGACAGATGGATGGGTGGATGGATGGGTGGGTGGATGGATAGATGGAAGGTGGGTGGATGGATGGATGGGTGGATGGGTGGATGGATGGATGGACGGAAGGATGGGTGGATGGATGGATGGATGGATGGACAGAAGGACGGGTGGATGGATGGGTAGATGGATGGGGTGGGTGGGTGGATAGGTGGATGGTTGGATGGATGGATGGATGGGTGGATGGGTGGATGGGTGGATGGATGGATGGATGGATGGATGGATGGATGGATGGATGGATGGATGGATGGGTAGATGGGTGGATGGGTAGATGGGTGGATGGGTGGATGGATGGATAGGTGGATGGATGGATGGGTGGGTGGGTGGATGGATGGATGGCCAGACAGATGACTGATTGGTCAGAAGGGTGAGCTGATGAAATAAAAGAATCAAGAAACAATTGTAGGTTGGCTGGGGGGATGGGCAGAGTAATGGCCAGCCATGCTTCCTAGAGTAGGCTGGAACAGGCAGGATGGGTGGATAACAATGAAGGGACTTTGGTGTCATTTTGAGGATATATTTGGGAAAATTGGCAAAAGAGAAAGTTAGGGCCTGTCCTGATCTCTTTCCACCATGTCATTGAGATGAAACTAAAACCAGTACCTCCCAGCCCCTCTCCTGTCCATCTCCCCTGCTGCTGAAGCTCTAGAGGCCTCTAGTGAGTGGCTCCACCTGTGGATCCCATGGGGGAAGCCCCTTGCCTGGGCATCTGGCTCCTCTTGTCCTGGCCCTGACCCTTCTGGACCCCCAAGGCTGTATCCATCTGTCCTCTTTGCTCCTGGTAACACCTGAGGCTTCCCTTTGGTCCTGGTGAGCTGTGGGGATGGGGACCCTCTATTCCGATGGGGTCTGGGGTGCGCCAACCTGTTCACACGTGGAGGAGGCAGCACTGGTCCTTGTTCGGACACCCGTCAGATACCACCTGGGGACAGTGACATGTCCTAATGGAAAGGCCAGCCTGGGTCCAGGGCAGGATGGGAAACAGGGGAGGCAGAGGAGGAGGTGGGAAAGGTCGAGGGGTCACACACTGGGGAGTGAGAGGGCCTAGGGGTGCCAGCATCCATCTCGTTGGCCCCGCACCCCCCATCTGTGCACCATATGTGGCCTGGCTCTGGACGAGGGAGCTCTGGCTGCCACCTGACCTGCCAGTCTCGCTCTGCCTTCCTGCGGCAGCTTGGGGCTCAGAACAGGAGAGGAGCCCTTTTAGTTTGATTTAGGGGGAGGGAGGCTCCATGAGCATCTGCATCTCACTGGGTCACCTGTGTGGTGGTGGCCGGTGGGAAGGAGACCCTTGCACGCTGCCCTCTGGCCAGTGGTTCATAAGCTCAGGAGGGCACGATAGTCTCTGAGCAGAGGGCAGGAGGCTAGATCCCCTTCTGTAGATCCCCTCTTTACACAGGACAGGTGCACACTCTAGCCCATCTCCTACAACAGAAACTCTGCCACAGCCCCTCCCCAAAGCTATCGATCCTGTGTTTGGTTCTCCTGTGAGGTCTTTGGCCGAATGGGGCCTGAGCACAGTGACGGACAGGAACACCAGCCCCCAAAACATGGACCGAGCCCCAGGGCCCCTCTCAGGCTTCCCTGGGTGGAAGGAGCTGCTGGGTGCTGGCGGACACAGCACTTACCAGGGTATCTCCCTGCTGCTGGCTCTGGGCCTCAGCTTCCTCACTGCAGGCCCCCTACCCCACCCGGCTGCCATGCCCTGATCCTGCCATGCTCTCAGCCTGCAGGGGCTCCATCCATCAGCCTGGGGTCAGCTCTTCATGCCGGGCTACTGCAGCCCCCTGGAGGCTGGCTTTTTGATATACGGGACATGGATGTAGGAACCACACCGGGAAGATGGCCTTTTAGAGCTGGCTCGAGGGTGACCTGTTCCCAACAGCTAGGGTGGGAGGGTCTGCCCCATCTCGGACCCTTGGCCTCTGGTGTGGCAGGGGCACCCCCAGCCAGCCGACATGCTACACTCCCTGGTGCACCTGCTCGTCCCCAGAGGGAGGCCTTGTGAGGGGCAGGGAGACAGGCTGGCAGAGCAGACCAGCTGGTCCCAAGTGAGGGCTCCTGCAGGCCTTGCCTCAGAGCAGCGGCCTCACTCTAGTCCCGACATCAGGGACATGGGTCATCGGGGCCTTAGACCTGCTCACCCAGACCCCCAGTGTACTTGGGCCAGACGCTCTCTGGACACAACCTTGGGGAACAGAGTCCAAAAACACCTGCTTCCAAGGTGCACATCCAAAACTACTGTTTTCATAGGTTCGGCGCTTGCCAGAGAGAAAGACAGAAGCCTGGACACACGACAGGTGGGATTCCAGAGTCTCATCGAGAGCCCAAATCCCGAACTGGTCCTTGCTTTTCTGAAACCCACGAAAGCGAACCTTTGACAGGTGCACGGACCCGTGGCTTGAGGCTGGGGACATTTCTGGAGGATAAGATGGGTCTATCTCGACTTCCAGAATGCAGGTTCCACCGTCAGGCAGGATTTGGGATGGCACCTGATCTGCGGCCCCTGGATGGAACCCTTCCTCCCAGGACCGAATGATGAATTCCTACAGCTCTGGAAAAAATCACAGCAATCACACAAACACACTGCTCCCCACAGGACCACAGTTCCAATTTCTTTGAAAATCTACTTCCTAAGCTTTATATACTTCCGCGGTTTCGCTCTGGTTTTATTTGGCAAACATCCCTTCTTTATTATCACCATCATGAACATCATTATTTGGACCTCTGCAAGGACTATATACATTCACATTAGCGTATACTCTTGATTTCTTGCCTCTCGGCGGGGCCCCCAGGAGCCCCGGTTTCAGTAGCTGGTCACTCCCCATATTGCACTGCAGTCCTGGGACTCTCTCACCGCGATGCCAGGAAATGCCAGGCCATGGGCCGCGTCCACCGTGGGTCCTGCCACGGAGTACACGCGAGGGCTTCCTTACTCCTTCATTTCCTCCTTGAGATGGTTGGGGCAGCTGAGTGGGGTGAGGGGACAGGGCTGGGGGCCCCGAGAGACCGTGCCCCCAAGGAGCAGCTAGACAGAAACGTGGGGCTCTCTTCAGCTGACCGAATCTCCAGTAGGTCTGGTGAGGGCGTTCTTTTTGTAGCTTTCCTTCTATTTCTGCAACTGTGTGCAGAGAGGAGAGTGCGGACAGCAGACTCCGGGGCTGGGGTGGCGGCGGGCAGCCTCGTGGGGTGCGAGGAGAGGTAGAGGAGGAGAGATGGAGAAGCAGCAGTTCCAGGGCCCGGATGCTGTCTCCTCAAGCTTTGAGACGCAGTCAAGAATCAACCCAAAAGATTGTCACAGTTTGGCTTCAGAGTTACTCTCTCCTGGGAAGGACACGTTAGCGCGTTCTCGCGTGGAAAACATGCAATGTGATGAGAATTCACGGAGGGCGTGAGGACAGATGGGGGTGGCCCCCGCACGCGCGGACACATGTGGACATGCATTCACGTGGGTGGGGAGCCCTCTGTCGTGGCAGAGAAACCCAGGGGGCCTCTTGTTGAGTGAAACCCTCCAAACCCCAATGTCCCCACAACCCGAAACACGGAATCAAAGCAAGAGAACAGGACGACACCTGAACAAATCCAAAAGTGGAGTAAAACCGTGGATAGGATACTTTGGCAGTGACAAAACCATTTTGGATTTTGACTTCTTGTGTTTGCTTTTTGGATTTCCTTTGGAGCAGAGGTGTGTCCGGCGTCCTTGGCTGGCTAGCTGGTAAGGTAGTTTACCGGTATGCTTCCTTTCCTTTTTTTTTTTTTTTTTTTTAAAAACTTTTTGGATTTCTACTTAAAGCCGAAGAGTTTGACATTAAAGGAAAAAAAAACTCCGAAAAATGTTTCTCGAGTTGGAAATTGAAATCGTTCTTACCGTCTTCACCGCGTCGGCCACGTGCCCCTGGGGTGGATTCTGGGCCACGGCGGCTCAGACCTCCAGCTGTAAGATGTCAATTTTCTGTTTCCCGTTTTAAGCAGGAAGCGGACAAAACCCCCGTTTCCTTTATCCACTTCTGAGTAGGTCTGTTCCACAAAACCCCCCAAAATTCTTCACTGAAAATAGAAGCCACCCAACAGATTTCTTCGTTAAAGAGAAAGCGTACGAGGGTGATAACGACAGGAAAGCGGGGGCGCGCGAGCGGGAGGGGGACAGGCGGCGGGCGAGCCGGTCACGCTCCGGCTGGGCCACTCTGCCGGCTAAAGCTCGGTGGGGGTCTCTGAGGACGCTCGGAGCGGTCGTGGCGTGAGACCGCCAGGTAGCTGAGGAAGTTGCGTTGATGCAGTTTTTGTTGGTTCTCTTTTCTTTTGGAGAGAAGCGGTAGCAGCAGCGGCTCCCAGGGCCGGGGGCAGCGGCCGGCGGGCTGGGGGGCCGGGCGGGCCGGAGGGCGCGGCATCCGTGGGCCGGGGTGGGGGGTCAGCGGGGCGCGGCGTCCAGGGGCCCGGGCGGGCCGGGCGAGCCGGGCCGGGAGGGCCCCGCGGAGCTGGCCTCGCTGGGGCTGGCGGCCCCGGCGGGCAGGCAGGGGCCCAGGCCGGCCGCGGCGTCGGGCTGCGCGGGCCCCGGGTCGGCCACGGCGGCCACGGGGCCCTGCAGGCTGTGGCCGCACACGTGGTGGTGCTTCTCCCAGTCCCGGTGCTGGCAGAAGGAGCCGCAGTATCGGGCCGCGTTGCAGCCGCTGCACGTCTCGCTGGCCTTGCGCCCACAGTTCCAGCAGCTCTGGGTGGGGGGGACAGGGTCAGCGGGCGGCCGCAGGGCGGACACTGGGCCCCGAACCCCAGGTGCCCAGCCCGGCCGCAGACTGGGGCAGCACACGCTGCCAACACCCCCACTCGGGCGGGCCGGGGCGGCCCTCAGTGTCCACGGGCCCCTGGCTGGGCCATTGTGGGGGTTGGGCGCGCACCGCCGAGGCACACAACTCCAGCCTGCCCCAGTCAGGCTCACGCAGCATTTACAGGACCGCGGGGTCCTCAGGAGGGAAGGCAGCCACGGCCTGTCCCCTCTTCCAGGAAGCCCTCCTGGTTTACCTGGGCTCAACCCCAGAATGTGCACCCTGGCTGGGTAAAGATGGCCAGATTCCAGTACAGGGTGCACGGCCAGGCACTCCCTGCCCCCCGCCATGGGGCTTCTGCTCCCTTTCTGTGGAACGAGCGGTAACCTCAGCCGCGCACGTGAGCAGAACGTGGGCAGGGATCCTGGGAGAGACCCGAGCTGGCAGCCAGGCTGAGGGTCGGGGAGCCCACGCCCGCCCCAGGAGGAAGGCCCAGTGTCCAGTTGGCCCCCGAGGCCTCTTGGGCTTCCTGGCTCGCTCTGCTCGGCCACACCGGCCTCCTTGCGGTCCTCACTCCGCCCAGCGTGCCCCAATCTCGGTGCTTGCTGCTCCCTCCTCGCTCTGCTCCTCAGATCCCTGCCCGGCTCGCTCACCTCCTGCAGGACTCTGCTCACATGTCACTGCCCTGCTGCCTTCCCTGGCACCTGCCTCCGTGCGGTCTGCCCGTTCTGACCCTCTGGGCCCGTCCACGCACACACATACCAGAGGTCTGGAGACAAGTCCCCTTCCAAAGGACGGTTCTAGAGGAAAACCTCTCCCCCTCCCCCGACTCCTCTGACGTGAGAGTCCTTCTGGACGAGGAGGAGAGGCACCCCCTGCCCCCGCCCTGCGGACCCCGCCCAGCCTCTGACGCCCAGAAGCCAGCACGACGTGATGCTCAGGCCCCTGCAGTGCATGCGTGCGGGCGGTAGCTGACGAGGCCCTCTAGACACCCCCGCGGTCTCCACTGCGCCGTGCCCCCAGCTTTCACAGGTTAGCAAGAGCATGGGCCCGGCGCCTGCCAGCCTAGGTCTGAATAATGCCCATGACATCCTGGGGCGCGGCCCAGGGCAAGCCACCTACCCCTGGAGCCCTCGGGGTCCACGTCAGCACGACGGGGACACCACAGGACCCACTTCGCCGGCTGCCTAAGGTCGTGAGGCGGGAGGCAACAGAGTGAGGGTTCGGGGCCTGGACCAGAGGCTGGCATGGGGTGGGGGGCGGGCGGGTGGCCTTACCTCACTGGAGTCCTCCTGCTGGTTGACCACGGTCAGGGCGTCCTCCGAGGCCTGCCGCCGGGCTTCAGCCAAGGCCCGCTCCATCTTGGCGCGCTCTGTGCTGATGAGCTCGTGAGCCTTTCGCTCGGCGTCCGACACGGCTTTTTGCAGCTCAGACATCGCCTGCCGCTTCACCTCATTCACCGCCTCCTCTGCAAAGGACACGCGGGCCGTGGTCCCGTGGCCCAGCCCAGCCAGGCCTCCCTGTGTTGTGGGCGGGCCCTGTACACCAGCGGCCGGGCACAGTGTGCAAGCCTGGTCGTGGGGGCGTCTCCCGAGCCTGGCCCTGGAGGGCGTGGCCAAGCCCACCCCTGACGTGGACGCCACGGGCGTGGGGAGGAAGAACCTTGGAACCCACGAGTTCCAAGTGAGGCTCATGCTGCCAGTGTCGGCACCCCCTTTGAGAACCAGAGCCGTGGACAGTCGGCTTCCCCTGTTGCTGGTATGGAAGCAGTCCAGGGGATGCCCCGTCTGGGGCTCCGCATTCTTATCATCCCCAAGCCCCCTGTCACCCACACCTGCGGCCTCCAGCCTGCTCCGGTCTGGAGAGAAGCACGCCGTCCTTGGTGTTGCTGTCGTGAGCTGAGCTGTCTGCCTACGGCCAGAGCGTCTGCTTGGGTTCCGCTGTGCTCCCCAGCCCTGGCAGACCACCCACGGCCGCTCAGGCCTGCCTCAGTTTCCCTGGCAGTGCCCTTCCTGCAGTGGTGTGAGGGGCTGGGGTGGTGTTGAGCAGGGCTCCTCTTAAGGAGCCTTCTGTGCTGGGTGTGGCAGAGCTGCCGGTCCCCCAAGTCACCACCGGGGCGCCATGTCGCTGTCGCCAAGGGTCCACCATGGGCCAGATGGAGGCAGAGGGGACAGGCCAAGGGAAACGAGGACCCCATCCTCCTGTCCGGGCCTGGGCCTTCCCCCACCTTGCTCCAGGCAGCTGCAGCCGGTCTGTGGCCCCTTGGCCTCCGCGCCTGGGGTGGGACGCTCTCCTCTCTCTGCTCTCAAGATGCTGCGATTTTCTCCCTCTTCCTTACGCTTCACATTGACTCCATCCACGGATCAAAACATCTCAGGGACCCTGCTGCTTCTCTCCACCGGCGCCACCCCAGCTGAGCCCCCTCTCCCTGTCTCTCTTTCTCAAGCTGCCCACTGGCTTCTCCTTCCGCCCCGCCCTCCCCACAGTGTGTCCCCTCGATGCAGGGAGCATCCCCCGCACGCTGCTCCGTGCCACACCCGGAAGGCCACAGGCACTCCAGCTCTCACTTTCTGTCACACGTGTGTCTGTGCACATGTGTGTGCGTGTAGGACCCAGGGACCTGCTCTGTTCTGCTGAGCGGCACCCTCGTTTCCCTGCACATGTCAGGTGCCAGATGTCCTACCCTGAACACTAGGTGCACTCCCACCCCTCCTGCAGGGTCTGTAGAGCCCTGTGAGCTTGGCCACCTGAGCGCCCCATGCAGACGGAAGCTCCCTGCAGATGACAGGGCAAGGATGGCACCCCTCCAACCCCCCACGCCACCCCCCAGCCAACTGCACTCACCAGCCTTCCTCCATATCTCCTCGGGCATGTAGCCAGACAGGGTCCTAGGCACGAACTCCCGGTGGGTGTCTGAAACATGGATGCCAGCATCACGCACAGAACAGGGCCATACTCAGCTGGGTAAGGGGGACGTGGTGTGTGCCCTTGGGGGGGTCCCGCGACGTGCCCCTGGGTGGAAACCCTGTATCCGCTGCTGGTGTGGGGCAGGGCAATGTCAGGAAAGAGGATGCTCTGGAGCACCTTGGACTCGGCCGGGACCTGGGCCTGTCCTGGTTTCCGTGGTCATCTTCCCTAAGTCTGGGCTTCTGGTGGTTCGGGGTGTAGCTTTACGCAGAGCAGAAGAGGCACCTCCTTTTCCAGGGAAACTCTTGGGTTGTATTTTACTGTAGTGCCACAGTGGGGGTGCTATTCTTGGTCCTTGGCGCCCCTGCAGTGCACCCCCGCCCCCCATGGTGCCCCTGGGCACGCACCCAGCTGAGACCCCTCTGCGCCCACGTTGCTGTTGAGGGGCCGGGCAGTGGCAGGCACGGGGCCCTTCTTGGCGTCCTCAGTGTCACTGTAGCGCTGGATCCAGTGGTTGAGCTCCTCGCGGTCAGCTTCCTGGCACTGACGCAGGACCGTGAGTGACCGCCGTGTCTTCTCAGCCATGTCCATGATGCAGTTCAGAAGCTGTGGGCGGGCGGGCGGCGGTGAGCATGCGGGGCTGCGTGTGGCTGCTCAGTGTGGGGGACGTCCAGGGAGCTTCTCATACACCCTGGGCCTGGGCCAGCCCGCTGTCCACAAGGGCTGGCCACAGTGAGCTTAGAGCCACAGTGTGAAAATCGCCTCCCACCGCCTGGAAAGGCACCAAGCACGGGGGTGGGGGGGTGAAGACCAGGCTTTTAGTCTGGGGCTCTCCTTTCAACTCTCCTGGTTGTGTTCTGCCCTGGGGACAGCAGATGGGCCTGAACTCCTCTGGGGACCACACCTGCCTGGGCTCCCTTTCCACAAAGGAAGCGGGGGAGGGATAACCCCAAAAACAGTGCGGAAGGTGTCCCAACCCCCACCAAACCACCTTGCTCCAGAGACAGGGGAGGCTCTGTAGGGCAGAGATGGGGAGGTTATGAGGGGCTGACCAGGAGCAGAGTTCCAGCTGAGGCAGGTAGGCGCCTAGCAAAGCGGAGCCCACAGTGACCCTGTCCCCCCCACTACCTCCCCACCCCCCCCAGCCCCAGGGCCCCACAGGCTGGGCGGAACCCCAGGAGTCGCGCAGCCCAGGCCTGGACACTCACGTTGTTGAGATGCTTCCACTCCTCTGCCCACTCCCGCTCCGTGAGCCTGTGGTCGATCACTTCCTCCTGCCGGGACCCATGCACTGCTGCAAGGGTGTATGGATGCTCAGTGGCCGCCCCGTGTCCCAGGCCCCCCTGTTCCCCAGACCCACCCCTCACCCCAGGCAATGTCCTTTCCTGTGTCCCCTCCCCAGCCCCAGCCCCGTGCCCTCCAGGCCCCGCCCCTCACCTAGCCCCCCCCTCAGGGCCCCCGGTCCCACCCTGTGCTTCCCAGGCCCCGCCCCTCACCCCAGTCCCCACCCTGTACTCCCCAGGCCTCGCCCCTCGCCCCAGGTCCCGCCCCGTGTTCCCCAGACGCCCCTCCCCCCAGGCCCAGCCTCCGGGTCCCCCAGCCCCGCCCTGTGCTTCCCAGGCCCCGCCCCATGCTCCCCAGGCCCCGCCCCTCACCCCAGTCCCAGTCCTGGGGCTTGGCTTTGCCTGTATGAGGGAAGTGGACAGGGTGAGGAGGGGGACCCTGGGTACTGACCCTCTGTCCACTGCCTTTGGGGGGAGGTCAAGAACAGGCCTGGCCTCTACTCAATGTTTGGGAGGAAGAGATGGGTCCCCACCCCTCAGTCTAGGCTTGGCCACCCCTCCCGACCTCCCTGTCTGCAAATCCAGCATAGCTCAGTTTTCCTGCCCTGCTGCCCGTGGAGGCTGCCTCAGGCCCCACTTTGATGGCCTCGCCACTCCTCCAAAGCCCTCAGGGGCTCACTGGCAGCTGCCTGGCTCCAGCCCATGCTGTCCTACCTCCTCTCAGCCCGCTGGACTCCTACACACCCCTCAGAGCCCAGGTCCCAGGCCCCATCCTCAGCAGCCCCGAGCCCTTCAGAATCCATTCAGCCCCACACAGATCCATGTGCTAGACCGTCCTGGCCACTTCCTTGTTGACTCTGTCCCCGAAACTGGCTACGTCTCCTGGGCCAAAGCCCAGTTGGGCAGGAGGCTGTGCTCTGGCTCATCTGCTGGGTCCAAGTGGGGCACCCTGGGAGACAGTGGGGTCTGACACCCCAACACTTGATCCCCAGGTCCTGCCCTCAGCACGCCGTGTCCGTTTCCCTACCCTCCGACCTTCTGGGGGTGCACAGGAGGGGAGGGCCCTCCAAGGGAGGTTCCTCTGTCACTCCCATCCGACAGATGAGAACACCGAGGCTGGCTCAGGGCATACGATTGCCCAAGGTCACCCAAGGTCAGCCCAAGCCTCAGTGGTGCCCTCAGCTGCTGGCTGCCACAGCTCCAGAGGCTGAAACAATGGGGTGTCCCCCCAGCTGGTGACGAGAAACAAAACCACTCTGAGCTGAGGAATTCCTACCATGCAACAGTGTGTGCCTGTCCTCATGTCGTTTCTGACATATCAAGTGCTCTTGGCCGCACGCTGGTTTGGGCGCTCCTGCCGTGGCGCCCCGAGCCTACGCCAGGTGACCCCGAGCTGCCCGGTGCTGCCCAGGCTGGGGTCTCTCTGTGTAGGCCTTTTCCAGCCCCGAAGGGTCTCCTAGCCTCCCCGAAGTGCAGCAGGAGTGAGAGGCCGCAGCCCCCCCCGCCCCCGCCGCCGCCCTCGGAACCCGGGCCACACCAACACCCCAACCAAAATAGTGGCTGAGATCTGCCCGACAGCTGGTGTTTATTTTTGCATTAGCAGGAGCGGGTGGGAATTAGCACCTGCCCGACCCGGCTGCAGGGAGCCAGACGCTGTCACCTGCTGCCTGGGCCCAGGCCCTGGAAGCTTCCGCAGGGTGGGGGCGGGGAGATGGCCTTGTACGGGGTGAGGCCTCTGCTGACCCTGCCTCGGGCCCCCCACTGGTGCCCTGGGACCCTCAGCTGTTTCCAGGCTGTCCCCCCAACATGCTGGGGGGCCCCCAGGGTGTGGGCTGGTCCTCTTCCTCTCTTAGTCCCTAACACAGAGGGGGTCAGAGGGTCGGGCAGACGTGGCCAGGAGGCTTTGGGCACATGCATGGGGTTTCTGGGCCTCCTCATCTGTGACATGGGCCTGCCGATGCACCACACACCCATACTATCAACATTGGGGCCTGCTGCCCCTGTAACGGGGGAAAGGATAGGACGCTGCCCTCCTTACCAGCCCTTTGTCTGCCCGGCCCCATGGGAATGCTCCTCACACCACCCGAGAGGTGGGACTCCCGTCAGATGGGCTGACAGAGGAAGAGCGGGAGGCCGGGAGGTCACATGGTGCACCGAGGCTGCAGGGTGGGGATCTGGTGCTGCGCAGAGGGTCCGGGCTCCTGCATCTCCCGCCCCCGTGCACAGCGCACTCACTGTGGTTTGGTGCTGTGGGGCTCGCTCTCATCCCGCTCGGAGAGCAGGACGGGGTGTGTGTACTCAGTGGCGCTCAATGAGGGCTCGTGAGTCTTGGAGGGGCATGTGCTTTCCCTCGGGGTGCCTGGGCCCAGAGCGTGGGAGTGCCCTGGAGGAACGAGCTGCAGCACTGTGGCTCGCATGCCCACCCTAACAGGGGGTCTCTTCCTGGCTGGCCGTGACCCCAGCCTCCCGCTGCCCTGGACACAGGGCCCCGCAGCATCCAGGCTGAACACCCCGTGTGTGTACCTGGCCAGTGGCCAGTGCCCCTCTAGGTTCTCTAGGTTCCCTCAGGTCCTGTATCTGCCCCTGCCCAGCCCCCAGGGACAGTCACCTCTGTGATGACAGCCCTTCCCCTGGAGGAGGGAGTCTCCCCACCGTGACCCAAGACAGAGGTCTGGGAAAGATGGCCCTCCCTAAGACTCAGGGGGCACAGCCCAGCAGGGTGCGGTTTCCCTCTGGGCCGCAGGGCCCCACCCCACTCAAATCCTCTCCCCATACCCATTTCCTCAGCATCCTTCCTGCACGGACAAGGCCAGGAGGGTCAGCGTATCTCGCCCGCGCTGACGTGCTCGCCGCAGCTCTGTGCTCCTCCCCCAGCCGTGCAGGCCCGCGCATGCCCCTGCTCCCCAGCGCACCGCTCACCGAGTTGCCAATGGCGCTCCCGCAGCTCCCGGGGGTCAGGGTGGCGGTAGGAGTCACGGAAGTGGTGGGCCACGGCCATGTCCTCGAGGCGGTAGTGCGGCGGTGTGGGCTGGGGCCGCCCATTGCTGGGGCTGTAGTGCTGGGCGGGGCTCAGGGTGCACGGCCGTTTGCTGAGGTGGTCGGGGTGCAGTGGGTCACGGTCTGACCCATTCTCTTTGGTCCTGACCCAAAGAGCAGGCAAGGTCACAGACCACGAACCGTGGACAAAAGCCCAGGCAGGAGGGGTGAGAGGGAGACAGGCACGGGCAGGACAGACAGGTGCGCAGGGGCAGGGACGAGGCCGGCCCCCCACTCTCCCTCCTCCCCTGGGGCTCGTGCCAGCCTCCAGCGCCCACGGGTTCTGGGCTCCCTGGCTGGGGGCCAGGGAGCCGGAGCCTCTGTTGAGGGAGTGAGGAGACGGACACGCATTCTCCAGTGGCCAGACAAGCGCCCAGTTCTGTGGCCAACACTGAGGGCCAGCCCAGCGCCTGGGGACCTCAGGTGCCTGAACGCTCAGGTCCTCATCCAGCCCAAAGCGAAGAGCCAGGCAGTTTCTGCCACAGAGACTCCCTCCTGACCCCTCCTGTCCTCCCAGGGGCCATCTGAGTGGTCAGGATGCCGTGCCCAGCCCCGTGCGGTGGCCTTGCAGGCAAGGCTTGATGGCCTCGGCTGCGAGCTGCGGGCCACGGAACGCAGCAGGAGGTCGGCCCACGTGCTGTCAGCCCTGGCACCAGGCGCCCGCTGTCCCGCCCCCCTCACCTGTCAGGTGTCCTTCTCTTGCCGTTGTCGTTGACGTCCAGCAGGAGCTCGGAGGAGTCGATGGGCGAGGAGGCGTTGGCGTCCAGTAGGAGCTGCTCATGCTGGGCCAGGTACTGGGCGGGGGTCTGCTTGGCCAGGCGGGCGCAGTGCAGGAGCTCCCTCTGCAGCAAGGGCAGGTTTGCCTGCATTGGGGGAGAGGGCACTGCGGTCGTGGCCGACAGGGGCCAAGGCTCAGTGTGCGCTGATGGCTGGCGGCCAGCCCTGCTTTGTGACCTCAGGCACGTGGCACCACCTCTCTGGGCCTGTGTCTCACCACTGCGATCTGGGAATGGGGGTGGGCACACGGATTTGAGGGGCAGTGGGACCCCGAGCCCAGATCCTGGCCCCCCAGCTGGGGTTTTTCCACTTCACCAAGCTTCCTGCCCTGGGGGCACCTGGGGAAGGGCAAGGAGGGGACCATAACCAGGACTCCTTGCCTTCACCTGTGGGAGCAGGCACCAAATCTCCCCCGTGCAGAGCAGAGAGCGGAGGCCCAGCTCTCCATTACAGCCGACTGTAAAAGGGGGGGCGGAGCAGCACCCTGCATGTGTGCTCCAGACCCCAGTGTGCATCCCCAGCTCTGCCACCGCCCGCGGGTGCCCAGCCCAGCCTGGAGCCCACACCACGCATGGTGGTGCCCACCCCACCTGGAGCTGTCACCTCCCGCGATCCTGACAACCACCCGCGGACACACGTGACAACGTGGTTCCCCGTTGACGGGTGAGGAGAACAGAGCACAGCGAGCAGGAGGACACATCCAGGGCAGGGCACGGGATCCAGGTGCCGTCCCCACTCGCAGCGCCGTGTGCTCCAGCCCCCCCTCCTGTGTGTGCCGCCGGGGGGCCAGCGGGCTCCTCCAGCTGCCCGCTGCCTTGCCGGAGCCTCGCGGCATGGCAGGGCACGGGCTGGGTGGGGGCTCAGCGGCAGGCTGCTTGGGAGAGCGGGCAGCTCCGAGTATTTGTAAATAAACACAGTTCCCCAACTTTCTCACGGCATTTCAGAGTGGCCGCCTCTGCCCCTGTAGCCCCGCTGAGCGCATCCACCCGGACCTGATCAAGCAGCCGATGCGTTTTTGTCAAGCAGAGCCGGCTGCAGGGCCTGTTTTTCTATTTGGATAGCTGAACGGGGGCCAGCCCGCCATCTGTCGAACACGTTAGGAGCATGAGCTGGGAAAGGAGGTCCCGGGAGGTCTGAAGACGCCAAACATCCTCCCTCTCCCCTGCCGGCCCCCCTTCCCGAATGGCCTCCCTTGGCTGGCTCAGCAGGGCGGGGACCGCAGGGGCACCGGCTGGCCGGCTGGTCGCTGTTAGGGCCGTGGAAACATCTGGATTCCCGGCCGGCTGGGGCCAGCTGGGAGCCGGGCCTGCGGGCGGAGGGCCGGCCGGGTGGGGCAGCGTCTCCCAGCTTCCGGAAAGCCCCACCACGTAGCCACGCGTGGTGTCAGGCTGAGCAGTGGGTTCGGGGGTCTCGGGGCCCTTGGTAGGGGCGAGGGGAAGGGGAAGCCCCAGGGCAGAAGACTGGGCGGGGGCTGTGGGGCGGCTGCTGCCTCTGGGGCAGCAGTCCCCACTGCGGGAGGGGAGGCCTGGCCACCCAGATGCAGACAGGCTGCGCTGGTCTCCAGAGCCCCGTGAACCCCGACATGGCAGGAGGGCCCAGAACTACCTTCTTCACAGGCAGAGACTCAGGCCAAAGGGAAATCAGTGTTTGTGCAAACAAGTGCGACATGGGGCTGGCTGAGCCATGACCCCCGTTTAACGAGGGCTTGTGGTGTTTCTGCGGCTCTGTCCAGGGCCTCCTCGGATGCCCACACAGCCTGGGTGCTGCGGGCCCGGCGGTCAGCCCACCCTGGCTCTGCCCTGGGACCCTGGGCCAGACACTTGACTTGTGTCTCATCTGCGAGTGGGGCCGTCCTCCTGCCCTGGGTGTGAGTTACCTCACGCATTCCTGCCCCCGTGACAGGATCACCGTGGGAGAGGTCCGAGAGCCCAGAGCTGGGGTCTGAGCCAGGCGGGCCACAGTTCCTGCCTCTTCTGCAGGGCATCGGGCACCCGCAAGGGCACACCCCATCGTGGGCCTGGTGGGTGGTGAATCCTCTGGAAGGTGATCCCCCTCCCAGGGCTCTGGCTGGCATCTCGTCACAGGGCCTGCAGATGGAACTGGCTGCACCCCAGGAGCTCCATGTCAGGGAGATGGACTCCGTGTCCTTGACAGTGTGCTGGCCCCGAGCCCCGGGTGGGGTCACAGGCACGGAGTGGTCTCGGCGTGAGAGCCCCGGAAGCCCTTCGAGACCACCGTGGGCAGAGGGGACACAGAGCCAGAGAGCTCCGTCACAGGCAGTGCTGGGCCCATGTGGTCTACCTGGCAGCGCGCTGGGGTGTGTCTGGGAGGACACTGGGGGGGTGGCGGCGCCGTGGGCCGGGGGCTGCAGGCCTGGCTGGGGCCAGAGCAGGGACACCGGATGCTCCCCACTTCTCCGATAAACAAGGGCAGCTGAGTGGGCGGGGACATCTGCTGTAAATATTTGATCTGACCGAGTAAGCAGGCGCACTGTGTCCCCAAAGATGGGGAGCGTGGAGTCAGCAGTAAGTGGAAGGAGGGGAGGGCAGGGCCGTGCTCCCGTGAATTACAAGTGACAGCCAGATGGGCCCAAACCCTGGCGCCTTGGCTCTCGAGTGTGAGCGCAGCAGGGTGTGGGAGGGAGGGCAGGAAGGAGGGAGGAGAGGACGGGTGTGGGGCGGGACCTAGGGTCCCCTTGACAGGGACTGTCGGGACCGCGGTGCCCGCCCAGGGCCTCCCTGCAAAGGCCTGGGTCCAGCCGGACTCCACCTCTCTACCAGGGGGACCTGGGAGCCAGGAACGGTGGGCATTCCTGCACCGCCCCCTTCACAGAGTTGCTGCGGGGCGGGGGGGTCAGCAGGGGCGCTGTAAAGAGCTTTGCAAAGCATGCCTGGTCCGCAGAGCGTTTAAATGCCCCGACGAGGACGCCCCAACATGAAGCGAGCATCCGCCCCCGACCCAGTGGCTGAGGATGGCGCATGGCAGGTTTGCAGAAACCGAGTCAGAGAGGGGTGAGCTAGCTCGGCCAGGCCGACAGCAGCGGCCCAGGGGCAGGGCTGGGAGCCGGGAGCATCTGGCCTTGTCTGTCCTCAAGCCCCTCTGGAAGGCAGCCCCCAGGGCCCGCCGCGCCGGTGAGCAGGGTCCAGGGAGACGGCATCTGCTAAGTGAGCTCTGAAACCCTGATCCCCGGAGGGGCCCAGAAGGGTCACAGGGTCACATCCCTTTGGGAAGCGTTTTACCTTTGCCCTCTCTGGGAGACACAAGATCCTCCTGGTGGAGGGAAGGCCCTGAGAAGCGGGTCCAGCGGGGTCTAGAACTACGCTTGTCCCGTTGTGTACACACACCAATCACCCAGTACCTTGTCGCAGGTTCCGACTCAGGGGCTCTGGGCTGGGGCCCAGGAACCTGCACAGCTCACAGGCCCTCATGTTGATGCAACTGTGGGCCCGGCACCGCCCTCCCCCTGCAGAGGCCCTGGTCCACTGTTGGCCTTCCGCGTCGGGCCGCACGGCCCTCGTTCCCCTCTGACGCCCACTCATCCATCCGTCCGCCCATCCCTCCGTCTGTCCTTCTCCTCCCTCTGATCCAGCCTCACGCCAAACACAACAGGCACACTCCTGCGTCGGGCTTCTGTGCCTGTTGTCCCTGAGGCTCTGTCCCCCACTATCCACCTGCTTCCCTCTCTCATCCTCCTCAGCCTGCACCAAATGCCCCCCCCATCTGCACCGGTCTGTGGCCACTGTTGGTTGGCTGAGCTCTCTCCCACCGTGTCCCCAGGCCTCATGCATGACCAGGCACACAGTGGGTGCTCAAAGCATAGCTGTCTAGAGGATGAGTGCATTTGACCAATACTGCAGGACTGAGCTGGGGAGCTCTGTGTTAGACCACTGGGTCTGGAGGTCAGCGCTGTTCCCACGCGGGACCCTCCAGTGTGGGCCGAGAGAGGTGCCTGATCACAGTGGGCGGGGAGCAGATCTGGGACTCCGCAGAGGGCCCAGCGACGGGGCAGGGGTGGGGGGAGATGGACGCGGGCTTACCTTCAGGAAGGGGATGACAAATGGACGCAGAGGGAAGTTGGTGGCCTCTTGGAGCTTGGAATGGAACTCCTCGATGGTCAGCGTGGAGTTCTGCGCAAAGAAACACACTTGCAGTCAGCCGAGCCCCACGGCCCAGCTCCGCAGACCACCAGGCCTCTGCCGCCCGCCGCACTCACCACGAGCCCCAGCACCAGCGTGCGGACGCGCTCCCCGATCTCCGGGGAGATGTCGCTGCCGAACTGCTGCAGGGTGGTGAGGAAGCGCTTGAGCTTGCTGAGCTGCCGCGCCCCACAGGCCGGGGGCAGGTGCTGCGTGGACAGCGAGGCTGTGGACGAGGTGGCCGGGCCATTGCTGAAGCCGCTGGGTGTGGACGGGGCCCCGTTGACGGCCGTTGGCGAGTGACTGCCGTTCATCACTGCGGGAAGGAGTGGGGGCTGAGGACGACAGCTGACAGAGGCCGCGGGCTGGAGCCAGCCGCGGTGTGGCGGGGGCACCGGACGCCCTGCATGGATGTCCAGACTGGGGCCCAGGGCAGCAGCAGGTGGGGCTGGGCCAGCGTGCGGCCGCGATCGGCGTGGCCCGGCTCAGCACCACCCCTTGGCCTTGCTCTGGGCTGCATGGTCAGGCCCCTCACAGCGAAGGGGGGGACACCACACCAGGACACCGCCAGTCTGCTCAGGTGTCTGCTGGGATCAGGCAGAGGGGCTTCTCCTCCAGGAGGGACCTGCAGGCCTATGTCCCCCTTTCCGGGGATCGGTGGCTCACCCTTTCTGAAAGGCCATGACCCTCACCTCTGCCACAACGGCCCCAAGTGTTGCCCCATGGCCTACACAGGCCCCGTTGCCTGGGCTGACAGGGCTTGGGGTGGGGCAGAGGGCCCTGGACACCCTGGACGAGTGGGGTTGGATCCTGGCCAGGAGGTGCCCGGAGGCCTGCTGTCTAGGGCTGCCACCACCCGGGTGTGAATGCACAGGAGCCCTGGGCTGTGTGGGGAGGACAGGCAGGGGACCGGAGGCCCCTGTGATGAGCACACTGCAGGGGTCAGAAGAGCAGCACTGGTGGTCACCAGGGCCCCAACACCGGAGTCAGTGTCCCAGGACTGGTGGAGACCTGGGGTCCCATGCCATGCCCTGGGACAGGACCTTACTCCTCGCTGAGCCTGCGCCTGGCCGCACCCCAGGCCCCTGGCCTCAGGAGCCTGAGCCTCAATGACCAGGGTCTGCAGATCCTGAGATGTCAGAGATCGTGGGCTGCCAGGGCTCTTGGTAACAGTGGACAGGGCCCCAGATGTGGGAAGGGAGGTTGGCACACATGGGAGTCCTGAGGCTTGTCTGATACACCCAGCAGCCACTCACACCTTGCCCCTCAACCAGCTGCCTGGGCACCTGCTCCAGGCAGCTCCCTGTGTTCGCACACTGAGCCCCTTGCACACTCACTGGCCTGCCCCTGAACGTGCTCCCTACATGGTCTAAACCCCTAACACATGCCTTCCGTTCCCCACCTCTACTCCCTGCCTCAGCATCCTTACACATACTCCTATGCACACACACGCAACACACACTCATGCCGATATACATGTACACACATGCACCTGCACACACACGTGTGGACATGCACCCACCTGCAAACATGCCCATGTACTCTCAGACCCACATACACACATACACAAAAGAAATACATGCCCATACACAAGGACATGCATACACACATGGACACACATACACACAAGGACACACATGCACACACGGACACATACACACAAGGACACGCATACACACAAGGACACGCATGCACACGAGGACATGCATGCACACACGGACACATATACACACTAGGACACACATGCATACACGGACACACATACACACAAGGACACGCATGCACACACGGACACACATACACACAAGGACACACATGCACACACGGACACACATACACACAAGGACACGCATACACACAAGGACACGCATGCACACTAGGACACATATACACACTAGGACACGCATGCATACACGGACACACATAAACACAAGGACACGCATGCACACACGGACACACATACACACAAGGACACGCATGCACACACGGACACACATACACACAAGGACACGCATGCACACACGGACACACATACACACAAGGACACGCATGCACACACGGACACGCATGCACACAAGGACACGCATGCACACACGGACACATACACACAAGGACACACATGCACACAAGGACACACACACGGACACGCATGCACACAAGGACATGCATGCACACATGGACACACACATACACATGGACGTACATACACACATGAACACACAGCCATGTACACACACACGCACACACGGACACACATGCACACATGAACACAGATGCACACACGTGCATATGCAGCCCCACGCAGCCAGACCTGTATGATAACACCCATGTATACACACAGATGCACGCACACACGGACATCTCTCACTCACTCGCCTGTGGTCCCCAAGCCCACGGCCCCGCCATCCAGCTGGGCCTGTGCCCAGGGGCCGAGCCAGGGAGTCTTTGGAGGTGGGCAGCTCAGGGCTGCTGCACCCTGAGGATGGAATTTTCGAGGCTCCAGGCCCTCCCTGGACCCATGGCTGAGACCCGGCCACCTGTGAGTGTGGAGATGGGGAGCAGGAGCTCCTTTCTCGGGGCTGGGGATGCGACCAGGGTCAGCTCTGTGAAGCGGCTTCCGCTGAGCGCCAGGTGTGTCTGCCGTTGACCCTGCTTGCTTTGGCCGCTGGGGGTGTGGCTGTGCCGTTCCAGACCACGCCCGCCCTGCCCATCCTGGCCGGGCCCTGGGATGTGTCTTCTGCACACGCTCTTGGCCTCACCCGGCCTGGAGGGGCAGCCCACATGCCAGCCCCCTCCCTGGGTCTCAGCCCTCCCCCAGCTGTGGCTCTCCTGGGTCCTTGTCACCCCCTCCACCTGCCCTGCAGGCCAGGGAGACACAGCTCCCACTGAGTCCAGCCCCGGGGCTGCACTGTCCCCCATGGGCTCTGGAACTGGCCCATCCCTGGCCCTCAGAGCCCTCTGATGAGTGCCCTCTGTTAGCCCTGAGGCTGCCGTCTGGTGGGCTTTGCCTGCCCCGCTGCCCGTGCGTCCAGCTGTGACGGCTGGCTCTACCCCATGGACCTGCTTGCCAGAGACACCTGCAAATGTCCCTCCCTGACTCACTCCACTGGACTGCTGGCCACGAGCCAGGCACCCAGCCTGCAGGTGGCAAGGCTCACTATTATCACGCATACTCCGTAGGATTCCCCAGACGGTCTGCCCCCGCAGGGTAACCCCAGCACCCACAGGCCCTCAGCAGCAGCCGACACAGCTCTGCCCTCATGGGCAGGAGAAGCTGCCCTGGCTGGGAGGGGCATCCTGCCCGAGGCCTCACATCTGCCTGGACTAGCCCAGGGAGGTGAGAACGGGGGCCTGGCCTCAGTTTCTTCATTTGCAAATGGGCCTTGGCTAAACCCGAGGACTGGTGCCCGGGCCCCTTCCGCTCCATGCTCCCCTGGATTATAGAACCTCTGCTATCCTTCTACCACCAGAAGGAGCTGGGGATGCTTAACCCTGATTGCTTCTGTATATTGGGGGATCACTCATCACTTGTCAATAATTGGCCACCACTTAGCAGAGGTTTGGAAACCACTGGCTGAAGGCCTCTTGTCCTGAGACGGGGTCTGAGGACTCAAGTCAGCTCTCCCCTCCCCAGGAGACACCATGCAGTCGGAGCCCATTTGCCTCTGGTCTGAATGATCTCGGAAGCCCCTTCTAGGGCCTTGAAGGGACACACCAGCCCCGGAGTGTCACCTCATTCGGGGGCTTCCCTTGCTCTTCAATGGAGAGTGAATGCCAAACACAGGCAGGAAGCATCCCCGTCCCTCACCCTCTCTGAGGTGCTGTCCGGAGGACCCTCCGATAGAGCAGGAGACCCCATTGTTGTGCCAATTTTCTCTCTCCCTGGTGAGCTCCAGCCAACAGACGCCCTGGTCAAGAGTGATGAGAGCCACCGGCCGTCACCCCGGCCAGGCCAGGAGATGGCCCTCTGCCACGATGGCCTCAGCTCACCACAGCAGGGGGCTGATTCCTCGCAGCAGAGCTGGGCCGTCAGCGGGGTCTGGATCTTCCAGAGGCTTCTAAGACGAATGGCTGTGTCTACCTCCTGGGTCCCCACCCGGCAGCTGCCGGCCCCGCCTGGGCCTGACCTCCCTGCAGCTCTCTTACCAGCTTGCCCTCGGTGCCTGGGTCCTCCCGGTGGCCTGCTTGCCCTCGCTTGCCCGTGTTCCCTCCCGCAGGCTGCCGGGCAGTCTCAGCAACTTGCTAAAGAGACGCCGAAAATAACCCCCGGCCACAAGCGCTTTCATTCCCACAACAGGTGTGTTACTAAGTTAGACCGCACACGTGTCCCCGGCTGATGTTTGGGGGCACACGCGAGCACCCCTGTGGCTCCCCGGGCCCCGGGGCCCAGGCGGGGGTCGCGCTGGGACGCGGAACCCGACAAGCAGCCCCTCTTCCCGTCAGCGCCGCGGCTCCGGGGACACGCTGGGCGCCAGAGCCAGGCCAGGCCGGATCCCACAGGGCAGTAAGGACAACGGTATCGCGGGACGTAAATAATGCAGGACCGATACGTCACCTCCTGCTCAGAGCCTGGGGGCTCCGCAGGGCCACCCGGGCCGTGCAGCTCCCTGGCGTAGAGTCAGGGCCTGACCTGACCGCACTCGCTGGCTGACGAACTATGAGCACAGCCCCCGAGCACTTTCCACGATGGGCCTCAGCTGTGGTCCCGAGACTTGGGCAGAAACGTCCACTGGCAACCGAGCGCCCAGCGTGTCCCGGGCCCCGTGTGAGACCAGCAGCGTCTCACGGCTCCTTGTAGTTGCCCTTGGCACTAGGTGCTGGGATGACTGCCGTTTGACAGGTGGAGAAACTGAGGCACAAGTGTGGAACCTGCCCAAGTCACCCGGCCAGGAGGGGTGGGAGCTGGGGCCTGAGGCGGGCCGGGGTCCGCCCTTGCGTCGGCCAAGCGACTGACTCGCTGTTGACATCGGATCTTCTCACAACTCTGGGATCTGGATCTGCCTTATTCATCCTGCTCTGTGGTTGGGGAAAAGGAGCTCAGAGAGGCCCCCCCACCTGCCCAGTGCCACACAGCTCGCGAGTGCAGGGCGGCTGTGAACTCGGGTCTGACTCGGGGCTCTGCACTCTGCTCTCCTGGGCCTGCCCCCGGCCCCCTCTTCTCTCTAAGGGAGGCAGGGCTCATGAACACAGCAGACGCAACAATAATGGGGGTGCAGGCAGTGGGGGGCACTGCTGTGGCCTTCCCGGGGCAGAGGCTGCTGGGGTGAGGACCTCCCAGGAGGCTGCGGTTTTTGTTATTTTACTTACAAAGACAGACCATAGACCACTTTAAGCAGCCATGAAAACGGCCGTGGGGCAGGGACATCGTGGGCCCGTCTTCTCGATCTGTAAGCAAAATAAGAAAAACACCCTGTCAGGAAAGAGCAGGTGGGTGGGCAGGGCCGCCCCTCCCCTCTGCCTCTCCACAGCAGTTTTGGGGACTGGGACTCTGTCACCACCTTGGGCCGGTCCATTCTCTTCTCTGGGCCTCAGTTCCTCTACCGTAAAATAACGGGGTTGTATTGGGGGGTCTCTTAGGGCCATATCTGGGAGGACCTTCTAGAGCTCAACAAGCCCTGTAGTGTCTCCAGCCGGCATGGGTGGGACACCTTGGTTCCTAAAAAGCTCTCTTCCTGGAAGGCGCCCTATAACCCCACTTGGCACCGTCCTCAAGGGACCCGGAGCCCAAGCCGACAAGACGTGAGGTTCGTTGACAGACAAGCCAGTGGTGGTTGGAAAACAAGGCCCAGCCCTTAGCCACCGTGAAGGGAAGAAGCACCAAGGGGGCAGAGATGTGATCTGTCCGAGCTGGAGTTAGTAAGTGGAGCCAAGGCCAGATGGGCTGGACCACTGCAGACAGGCAGTGAGCCCCCTGTCACAGGGAGTAATCAAGGGCAGGACAGGCCTTTGAGGGCATCCCAAGCCATCTCAGCCATCCTGACCACTGCCACAGCCATACCGTGGCTTCAGCTCCAGGATGAATTTGTGCCCAGGCGGTCATCAGGCAAGGAAAACCAGCTTGAGCCACGGCTCAAGGTCAGCCTCTGGCCTGCGTGGCTCCCAGGCTGCTCCTGGGGAAGCTGGGGAGGCTCCCACCCTGGCGGCCAGGGGCATGATGCAGTTAACCACGGCTTTCTGGGAATTCCACACAACTTCGCACAACTCCGAGGCCCCTTGGAGGTGACCAGAGACCCAGATGGACACCCCAGCAGCCCAATGACATTAAAGTACCGGCTTCGAGTAGAAGGAACCACCGGCCTCTTCTAACCTCCATGCCCCAGATAGAGCCAGGTCCTCCCCTCCAGAAATGTGAGCCCGTGGTGCACCAGTGTGAGGGGACAGATGGCTGTGAGGGGGGCCCTGAGCCACACACACGCCCCACCCCTGTCCCCAACCTGGAACATCTGGTTCCCAGACCGGCGCTTTCGGGAGCATGGGTCCTGGGCCAAGAAGGAAAGTAGGCCGAGGGCGACGTGCCCTTCCTAGCCGGGCAAGTGGCCCCGAGGCCTCGGGCACGCCGGCCACGGCCCGCCGGCTTCTCTGCCTGGGCACCAGACCCTGGAGGGTGGGCTCATCATTTTAGGAGGAGGGCCACGGCCTTGTGTCTTGGGAGCTGCTGGTGGTGGTTAAATGCCGTGGGAGCCTCCGCCTGTGGCCGACAGGGGTCCAGCCCCGAGGTGAGGGCGGGGTCCGCATGGCGGAGGCAGAGGGGACCCGGATGGCCAGCAGCTGCGTGACGGCAGAGCCCAGCCAGCCCCTGCAGGTCGACCCCAGCCTGGACGCCCAGGGCTACCGCAGTGTGAGGCCCCGCTCTCCTGGGCCCCTCCTGGGGAAGGAAAGGTCTGGGGTTCATTCCGGTCTCCATTACATATGGTGACCCTGGCACAGACTGGCCCGAGGAGGAGGCCCTGGGACCTTCTGTGGAGGGAAGGTGCGGGGAGGGTGCTGGCTATTAAGCTCCTGAGTGTGCTGGGAAGTCTCTGCCTCAGACTGCACACGGGGAGCCGCTGGTGCGTTCCACCTGCCCCCCCATGGCGCAGCGCGGTCAGGAGGTCCGCTCAAAGCCAGCATCCTACAGAAAGGGCCAAGCCTGGCCTGACCGCTGAAGGCAGCACCTTTCTCCAGAGGTAGGCAGGGTCACAGCCAAGCCCCATGGTCCCCGGCTGCCCGGCCTCCGATGACAGGGAAGAAAGGAGCTGGGCCCTGCGGTCTCGCCTGGGCTATGGCTGGCAGGAGGCTGTCTGAGGAACCACCAGGCTGAGGCACTCGAGGCTCCCTTCCCAGAGATGGGCTTTGCTTGGGTTTCAAACCTGGCGAAGGGACGTGTGGGGCTTTCTGGCCTCTGGATGTGGGGGGAGCAGGTGCCGTGCGGATTCTTTCCACTGCCCACCAGAAATGCCCAGGACACACTGCTAAGCCCCTCGTCTTGGGGGGCACGGGATACCATAGCCCCCACCGGCCCAAGGCTGGCGTCTCCTCCCAAATGCTCAAGACCCCAAAGTCACTGAGTCACCGATTTTTCTGAGTCAAAGCAACAGGTCAGCAGTGGTGTTTGTGGACTGTGGAAGCCCACCCAGAGACGCTGTGTGTGCCCAGATGCTCACCCCAGGTCCGCCCAGGGCCAGGGAGACACTGGGCGAAGGGCCGGCCTGCCCTGCACATCCCCCGGCAGCAGGGCCCCCGGCTGACGCCAGGTCCTGGCCAACCCTCACACCCCACTGCGGCCTGGCTGCCCAGCTCCGCTGAGGCCAGGGCCACCTCTGATGGACTCACAGCCCTCGAGTAAGCTGGGCTCTCCCTGTCCCTCTCTGGGCTCCAAGTGTAAGGGCTTTGACAAAACACTCACGATGTGCTGTCACTGGGTAAGAACTTGCACAAACTCACTTGTCCTCACAGCAGCTCGCTGAGGCAGGGACTGTGGCCAGCCCCGAATTATGGATGAGGAACGCCAGGTCCAGAGAGGTTAAGTAGCTTACCCAAGGCCACACAGCCGCAAAGTAGAAGAACCAGGATCTGAACCTGAGGCTCAGGCTCCGAGCCATGATGAGATCCTCCCTCTCCAGGGCCCAACGGTGGGCGTTTATGGGTTCAGGGCAGAGGGCCCCCAGCCCTGGCTTGATTCGCGGGAATGCTCGGAGCCTCGCACAGCTCCAGGGGACCTCCACGCTGCCCACTCGGTGCCCCGGCCTTGGGTTACTCACTTGTGTGAGGCGTGAAGGAGGGGAGCCGGGTGGCCCCCTGGGACGCGGCAGGCGCTGGGGGCGGCATGCCGGGGGGCGTGGAGCGGGGCTGCGTCTTCACCTCGGCAGGCGAGTCGGGCATCGTTGCCGTCTTGTCCTTCCTGCCCACTGCAGGGGGCCGCAGGGAGGAGAGAAAAAGAGAGGCACGGTGAAGCAGGCTGAGGGGACGCGAGGGACCCACGCTGGGCGTGGACCTGCGCTGCGGGCACCCGGGGGGGGGGCCCCGGCTCTGGGCACAGCCGGTCCCAATCCCAGGGCCCAGTGTGCCCCCGACAAGCCTCAGCTGTGCTGCGAGGCGGCTGACATCCCTCCCACCTGGGCGCAGAGGGCAGGCGTGGGGCAGCCCATTTCAGGTGGGCTGGAGGGCGGAGCTGAGAGAATCCTGGGTCAGTGGGAACGGGACTGAGGTCCTTACTGGGGGGTGGCTCTGGGGGGGCTTAGGTTTACTCCCCAGCAGACCGGGGGCTGGGGGGCACCCCCAGGCAGCGGCTTACAAACACGAACTCCGTCAGCGTCCTCTGGAGGGCGTGTGCAGAGATGTCAGCCTCCCCACCCCGTTTCTGATGCCGCAGGTCTGGGGAAGGCCCGAGAATCTGCATTTCTCACAAGGTCCCAGGTGGGGGGCTGCAGGTGGTTGGACACCCCTCCTGGAGAAACCATGGTTCCCAGGGCCGCGACAGCTCTCAGATGTCAAAAGGCTCGCCCTGGGTGGGTGGGGTCTTCCCAGGAAGGCCTGGGAGGCAGACCCTCTGGGGTGGCAAACCCCTATTTGACCACCTGCTTGCCTGGGTAATTCACGCCGTTCTAGGCCTGCCACTCGATATGTGGTCCACAGACCGACGGGTCGTGTGCGCCTGACCTTGTCAAGATTTCCATGTGGTCTGTGACGCTCTGCTAAGGGTCAGGTGTGGAGATGTGCCAAGGCCTGGGAGGGCCCTGAGCCCCGGGGCCCCCACAAAGCAGGACCTGCAGGAAAGGGCCCCTGGGCGAATCTGACCAGCCACACAAACCCTGAGCCAGCAGCTGGTCATCTTTGCAGCTGGAGGACGGCGAGCCCCGGGCCTCCCCCTCTGTCTAAACTCGGGTGAGCCAGTGCCCGGGCAGGCCGGAAAACCAGAGAGGCAGCGGCTGGGATTTGGGGCGGCCCAGCTGCTTGAGCCGTCAAGGTGGGTGAGCTCTCCCTGTTACGGAGGCACCGCCCACGCGGCCCCAGCCGCTGCCCCGAGCTCACCCTGCTAACGCCGATGGGGCCTCGCCAGGGGCTGGGGCTGCACACCTGTTAGCTGCCCCTATGCGTCCTCTGCTTCTCCCCCATTCCCCTCTCCCAGGGGCCCTGCAGGACAGGACGGACGCAGACACACATGTGCACCCGGGGCAGCCAGCCTCTGTGGCTGGTGATTAATACCGCCGACAGATGGCATTTACTGTTACCTCGCGCCCGATCCGCGGCAGCCTCCCCTCCCTCCCCCACCCCTCCTTCACAGAGCGGAGATGCCCGTCGGGGCTCTGACAGCCCTCTGCACGCCGGGGCCCGCGGGCTGACAGTGAAGAAGACCCCTCCCCGCTGGGCCCCCCGGAGCAGGGAAGCAGCCGGTCATTAGCGGCCACCCGGGCCACGCCGCACCTGCTGTCCACTCAGCTGCGGCCGCTGGCCTCCCTCCCGCTGGGCGCCCTGCCCCCCTGCAGCCTGCCTGTCAGGGAGCTGACGCCGGGGCACATGTGCCCTGCAGCTGTGGGGGCCCGTCAACGCCATGCCTGGCCGCGGGGCCGGCCGCCAGTCGCTGGTGACGACCAAAGAAGGCAAATGTGGCCGGCCACTGTGGGCCCTGGGCCACCCCTGCAGGGTGCAGACCCATGCCGGCCCGGCCTGGCAGTGAGCAGGCCCTGGGGCAGGCAGTCCCCCCGGCCGGCTTGGGGGCGGTTCAGACACGTGGCCGGCTCCACCTTGCCAAAGCCCTTCCACGCTGGGGGCTTCGTTCCGGCCTCACGCTGAGGACAAACGGCGCGGAGAGAGCCCAGGGAGCCTGCCGGGTCCGCGCCGCCCACCCCTCCCCGGGCGCTGTGTGATATGCACGGCCAGCAGTGGGGACCGCGGGCCCTGGCACCAACACAGCAGGTCCCTTGGAGCGTCCAGCTGGCGGACACTCAGCCCAGGGCCGCCCGCTGAGCGCCGAGAAGGGAAGAGGCCGCTCCCGCCAGCGCCCGCGACCTCCGTGGCAGAAAGGGAAGGTGAGGCCGCCCGTTTCCTGAGCAGACGCGCAAACGCTGGCGGCTTGCTCCGCGCCCTTGGCAGTCGCGGCTCCTTATTCTCGCGGAGGCCCCGGGGGTGGGGGTGCCGCGGCCAGCCCTCGCTCCCAGGTACAGAGAGGCGCGGTGTCTGCCGCGGGCACACAGGGGGGCTGGGCGCGCCCCACAGGGTCGTGCGGGTCTGCAGGGCTGCAAGGCCTGCCTGCCCCCAGTGCGCCATGTTCTTCCAGAGGCCGCGCGGGGCTGGCATGCAGACCTGGCTGCAGGGGGTGGGGGTGGCAGCCCTGGGACACAGCTGCGGCGTGCGGGACCTCCCGAGTCTCTGGCGCCTTGAGTCCTGGCTCTCTGCTTCTCACTGAGTGACCTGGGGGGTCCCCGCACCTCCCTGAGGCTTTATTTCCCGATAGAGGGGGTAGCAGTCTGCGCACGCACGCACTCAGTGGAATTCGGCAGAGGTTCATGGAAGGACGGTGCGCCAGGACCCTGCTCTGGAGGCTGCCGTCGGCACGGACCCCACCCCAGAAAATGACGGAGGCCGTCCGGGAAGAGCGGAGGAGGTGTGGCGAGGGGGCAGGAACAGTGTTTGTGCTGCAGGGATGTGCAGAGTGTTCGGGAGTCTCGGCGAGGAGGCGTGTGCAGGGCCCCCAGGACGGAGGGTTCGAGGGTCAGCGGGGCTGGGCTGGTGCACGTGGACCCGCTGTGTGGGCAGAGGAGCCGCTGAAGGCTCACAGGGCAGCCGGAGCGAGCCTCAGCTCGCACGTCCACTCTCCTGCCCAACACCCGGCAGCAGCCGCCCCTGAGTGAGCGGCTTCTTGCTGACCCAGGCTGCCCTCCTGCCCCGTCGGGGCCGCCGTCCACCGCAATGCTCGCCCCTCTCCCCGCACCCAGAGCACCCCGCCGGGAACGCTCCTTCCCTCTTGGCGGTTCCGCTCTGGCCTCACGTCCTCAGGCGACATGCTCCCACACTTGAGCTCCTCGCCCTCTGGAACGTCGCCCCGCGCGGGGATGACCTTGCCTTCTGGTCCACCTGTTTGCAGGGAGCGCGTGGGGCGGGGACGTCCAGAAGGCTGGGGCACTCGATGCCAGAGCAGGACGCAGGGGGGACGGGGGTCTGAAGGCGTCTCCCTGGGGTCTCCCTGCCTCGGGGCTGGAGGGGCCGGCCGAGCAGGGACAGCAGGGGGGTCCACTCAGGGCCCAGGCTTGGAGGGAGCTGGATGCTGCCCCCCAGGATGAGTCACTGCCCCTGTGAGCCTCACTCCTCGCTCACCAACTGCCCACCTCCCTGGTGTGTGGGACAGATCAAAGGGGACGGAGAAACGCACTTAGCAGAGGCCTGGCACCCACCACGGTCACACCGCAGGTGGCGGGGGCTACAGTCACTGTCCTTACCTATCATCTCCTCCCCATCCCCGAAGCCCCAGGCTGTGTGCGAGCCGACTGGCCCACAGCCCCTGCGGCCTGTCGGCAAACGGTAATGAGCTGCTGGACTGGGGCGGCCTTGTTCTCCTGCGCTGGCTTCCTGCCCTGCCCCCTCTCGAGGCCGCCTGCCAAGCCAAGGGCTGCTCCCTGGCCCCCTGAGACCCACAGCGAGGCTCAGACTCCCCGCGGCTCTCACGGGCTGGTGGCCAGCATGGGACTGTCTGGGCAGAACCCTGCACCCATAGCCACAGGAGCTGGCTGGGCTCAGGGTGCAGGAGTGCAGGGGAGGGGCTCCTCCGTCAGATGCTGGGTGCCGGAAGCCAGTGAGGGGTTCAGTCCTGCTTCCCGCCAAGGCTGTGAGCAAGGCCTGGCTCAGCTCCCTGGCAAGGCCAGCCCCACCTGGAGACCCCGGGCAGGTCCTGTGAGGCCACTTGTCTCCTCCCTCCTTCTCAGGTCCCCTCAACGTCCCTGCCCAGTGTCCTGACCCCCATGCTCTGCACACAGCGGCTGGTAGAATCCCCATGCCCTCCCCCGCAAAACGCACTGTCAGGGCCCTCTCATGTCCTGACTCCCCAGGGTCACCCGGCCTGGGAATGGCAGGCTAGGCCTGACCTGTGCCCTCCATCCCGAGCTCCAACTGTCCCCGCCACACCCACCCAGGCCTCTGTCTCCCACACTCCTCATTCTGGGGTGCTTCGAGGCTCTTAGTCCCACAGACCCTCCACCTGATGGTGGGGGTTCCCCTGGAAAAGCTCCCTTTAGGGGGCTCTGGTTAGGCAGATCTGGTCCAACCTTATAATGTTAATATATGATAATAAGGATATCCGCTGCTCCTATGCAGGGCCTCACACGCATTAGCTTGTCTACCCCTCAGGTCAGGAAAAGTGAAGTGACCCCAAGCACCGATTTTTATTAGGAATTCCACACGACAGGCTGGTTATCATGCCCATTTTTAGATGGTGAAGCTGAGGCTCAGGGAGGGCGAGTGACTTGCTCAGGTCTCAGAGCCGGAAGCACAGAGGGTGCCGGGCAGAGGGCTGGGCCCGGGCCCCCACGGCGCCGCCATCACCTGCGAGACCAGCTGGGCTCTGACCCGACGCTGCCTCGGAACGATGTGTGGGCCAAGCAGCACACAGGAGGGGCAGCTGCCTGGGGTCAGAGGTCCCTCATTGTGAGTCAGTGGTGTCCGAACTCGGGCAGATGAGTGCAAGGACCATCTTCCCAACAGCATGGAGCTCCTGATCTCGGCACGCCCAGGAAGAAGAAAGGAGACCCGGCCACCAGCATCCCTGTGGCCCTCCCAGTGCCCTGGGCAGCCAGGGTGAAGGCACCGCGGTTCTTTCCACGCAACCCGCCAGGCCCAGCTTGGTGAGTGCAGAACCCTGCCTTAGCCAAGTGAGGGGCCGATCACGCGAGTGGAGGAAAGCTCGGAGTCTGGGGAAGGGACATCGAGCCCCGTCGCCCGACGCCAGGGGTGCCCACCAGCCATCCTGGAGCCCGAGCAGTGTCTCAGCCCGAGGAGCAGCCTCGTGCTGATGCAGGCGGGGGAGTGCCGGGCCCCCACCCGTGGTCCTGGCTCAGAGGTAGGCAGACGGGAAGCGAGGGGCCCGTAGCCAGGGAGCTCAACGTACATGGAAAAGAACATTCCTTATGTGAAGGGCCCAGACCGTTGGCTTGTGTGACCTCCCCACGACCCTCGGAGGCCAACGGCACTCCTCTCCTCTTTCAGATGGGGAAACAAGACAGGCCAGGCGACCTGCCTGGCTCCCACAGCTGAGGAGGGGGCTGGCCATGACCTGGGCATCACTCCCACCGGCCCACAGCCCCACAGCTTGCAGGCGCCCTCCCGCCCCCTTCTGATCCCCCATCTGCCACCCCGCGGAGCCTTTCTCTGTGGCAGTCCCCACCGGCCTCCCAGAGGGCAGGGGGCCTACTGGCACTGGGCCGCTGGTGTCCTGGTGCAGGTCTGGGCAGGCAGCAGTCAAGGCATGTCTAGGCGTCCTAGTGAGCAGAAGAGCCAAAGGGGTCCCCCGCCCCCAACCTTGCCTCCCACCCTTGGGAACATTCCCAGACCTTGGCCTGCACGCCACAGGCCCATGGGAGACCCAGCATCTTTCCCAGACGGTGTATCCAGTCCCCAGCTGAATGTTCCTAATCCGTCCACAGAGGAAGCTGCTCTCCAAGCCGGGCAGAGCCGGTGGGAAAGAACATGGAATGTGCCGGAACAAGCCACCCCATCCATCACTGTCCCTGTCTGCCTGTGGTTCCCAGCCTGCCCTGCCTGGCTGAGAACTGGCCACAGCCCAGAGCTCCCAGCCCTGGGGTTCTAGAACCTTCTTCTGCCCGCCTCCAGTCTGCAAAGCTGCTGGAAATAACAAGCCTCTGCTTTGATCATTCAGAGTCTTGATTTCTGCTGGTACCTCATCTGACCCTTACAAAGGTCCTGGGAAAGTAGGAAGGGAGGGATGGGTTCCGACAGTAGGCAACCAAGCCATGGTGATCAAGTCCTGACTGCATGCTGGGCCTGGACCCGAGCACTTCACATGAATCACTCAGCTCACCCTGCAACAAGCCTATGAGGGGGGCGGGTGAGGAGACCCGGCCGCGCACCCAGGCCGTCTGGCTCCAGGAGCCACTCTCTCCGTGGGGTTTTGGGATGCAAGGGCCCTGCTCCAGGGTCTGCTGGCCTGGGTTGGACACAGCCCCACCCCAGACCCCTCTCCTGGAGCTGGCACATGGGCAGGGGTTCCCGAGGCCCGCAGGAGGCCGGGGAGGGGCCCCCAAGGTTCCGAGTGCCCCTTGAGTCCCCAGGATGACAGCGGTCAGCCTCGGAAGTATCAGAGCAGAAGGCTTTCCCGGGGCTGCCGGCGGGCGGGGCTCTGGAGTACAGCGTGGGGGTCCTGCACCTCCTCTGTAAAGGGCAGAACATGGGGGCTGCCCCCCAGCCTCAGAGTCCGCATTCGTACACAGGAGACGCAGCGTGAGTGTGAAGCTTGCACAGCGATCTCCGCGGTTCTGCTGAGGCCGAGAGGAGACAGATGTCCTCGACGGGGCCTGACTGTGTGCCTGCCCATCCCTCAGACCTCACACCTCCCTTCGAGGAGCAAAAGGAAGAGAAACCCCCTTCGAGGTCGTCTGGCCAGGACCAGCCTCCCTGTGCGCCCCACACCCCAGTGAGACAGATGGTGAGCCCGCCCTCACTGTCCCCCAAGAATGGAGGGCTCCACGTGGGGGCGAGGGCAGAGCCAGGGGTGGGGCCCATCTCTGAATTCCTAGCTTCTGCCCTTGGCCAGGCAGCAGGCCAATATTCTAAAACTCTGGCCAAGGTAAACCCATACGCCTGGCTTTCCTAGGATCCAGAGGGGCAGGCTGGCCCCTCTGAGACATACGTCCTACGACTGGTGCACCATGGCTCCCCTGCCCCTCAACCAGGACCCTGAGTGCTCCCGGCTCCTTTGTGCCTGGCCTGCCTGTCCTCGAGCCTACTCAGCTGCTCCTACCTCAGGGCCTTTGCACTGGCCATTCCCTCTGCCACGGATTCCTCCCCCCAGATTCCTTTATGGCCTGGTCACACCCTCTGCGTTTTTGCCCCAAGGTGACCCTCTCTCAGTAAGACCGAGTGCCTAGAACAGTGCTGGGCACACGTGGGTGCTCAATAAATACTTGCTGAATTACAAGCAAGACAGTCCACGGAGGCACAGTTCACTGAGAGCAGCCTCCCTAGTGTCACAGGCTCTCTTTAAGCCGATGTGGCTCCCGACCTCCTTCCCCATCGGGTCCAAACCAGTGTGGCCCACGGGGCAACCCGCGACCCTCCCCAAGCTGTCCGCATAGCCGCGGCCCCTCTGTGCCGCCTCCTTCCCAGCATGGCCTCCGGGTGGCCAAGCCCTGGCCTAGCAGGGCAGGACTGCCCACTCAATAGACGAGGACACCGAGGGCAGGGAGGTCAGGGGCTTCACCCGAGACCACAGCTCAACAGGGCGACAGAGCTCTGATCCCCCAATGACCTCCTATCACAGCAGCAGCCCCGCATCGGGCCCAAAGCCCCTTCTGATCACACCACCAACAGCACGGCCGAGCACAGGACGCTGGCCTGGGGACAGGCACGCGGTCTCCCACGCGGTCTCCCGAGGGGGCAGCTCTGTGGGTCAGGGCAGCGGCCCTTGGTTTGCAGAGCCGCCCTCCCGAGTGCTCAGTGCCGCCAGGGTCTCAGCGTCCACGAGAGGGGCTTGCAGGAAAGCCACGCAAGAGACAAGGGCAGCGGGCTGCGTGGGAAGATCCCCACACGACGGTCCCAACGCATGTGATGCGGGGGGGGCCCCCCACCATGGACACAGAGTCACTATCTCGGAGGCCACTGAGCTCGGTGCAGGGCCTGGGCCAAGGGAGGCAGCTCCCAGCTCCCACAGGGCCCGGCCAAGAGCGGCCAGCCGGCCAGGTGCCCGGGGTGCGGGGTGCAGAGAGCAGGTGCCCCCAGACCTCTGCAAACATGGTCTTGCCCCTGCAATGGCCCTCCTCCTTCACAGCCACCCCAGTTGGCCTGGCCTTGGCCTGGGGAGCATCTTTCCTGGCCCCAGGGTCTCTCAGAAGCCTCCCTGACTGGGGGCCTCCCGTGGGTGCATGTGGGACAAACAGGAAAATCAGGCATGAACCCCTAGGAAGAGACACATTTCAGAAGGTCTGTGAGCAGCGACGGACAGGGGCCACCAGGCTGAGGGAGAGGTGATGGGGCTCGGGGGGCTGTCTGCCTTTGGGGCAAACCCAGGACAGTGGGTGACCCTCCACGTCCAGACGGGTGGGTCTGACCAGGAGGCTGGGTGCCCCCCCTACTCTGCTAAGGCCAATGTCAGAGGGGAGGCTTGTCTTTGATCCCCAGCAAAGCGACACGGGACGGTCACGGGGGTGCGGCCCTAATGAGTCCCAGGCGTTTCCCGCATCTGCTTTCTATTACGGCGTGCACCGCCCCCATGAAAAAGTCATGATACAAAAACACGGGGATTACTGTTTTCCCCTCGTGGTCGCAGTGGGCCTCCTGCCCCCGCAAGTGCTCGAGCCGAGCATGTCCGTCCACAGCCTCCCGCCCAGCCCTCGGGGCCATCCCTCTGGCCCTGAGTCCGCCTGCCAACCCTTCCCCCTGCACGGTGCTGAGCCCCCCGGAATGCCTGCTCCCAGGGCCCTGTGACCCCCTGGGCCTGTGGGGCCGGAGGCAAGGGTCACAGGTCACCACGGCAACAAAGCTGGGCCGGGCGTCAGGAAACCGGGGTTCCCATCCTGCCCTGCAAGCAACTGCGAACTTGGGAAAACGACCCCAGCACATGTCTGAGCCTTGGTTCACCCGATGGAAAAACGGGGCCCGTAACTCCCACTTCTGGGGTGGGGGTGGTCTTGGACGAGGAACCTAGGAGGGCTTCCCAAAGTGGCAAGCCCGCCGTGGCTGCTCACGCCCGTCTCTGTCTCCTGGCTGGAACACCGGCGCCTTTTCTCATCTGGGCCTTGGTGCCCACACCTGCCATGCGGGGAGGGCAGAGGCCACCCTGAGGAGTCGCAGCGGGTGACCCGTGGAAAGCGTCCAGTGCACATGCTCAGCAAGCGGCGTCCTGCTGTACACGCGTGGGGCCCCAAGGAGGCCCTGCGCAGGGGTCCCGGGGGAAGGGCTGTCCTCCGCACGCCGGCCACCTGCCCAACTCTGATCGCAAACTGGCTCCCTTTTGCCGAGAGCTGCTCGCGCGCTAGGTCTGAAAGCCTCTGTCCTGAAAAAGCCACGCGGTGTTGTTAGGGCCCCAGGGTACAGTGGGGAAACCGAGGCACACAGTGGCGATGTCACCTGCCCTGGGTCACACTGCGGATGTGCCCACAGCTCTAAGGCTGGTGGCAGACAGAGCTCGTCCCTCCCTGTGGACGTGCGCAGAGCCCACCCACAGGGCTGACAGTGGCCTCTGTCCCAGGGTGAGGGGGTCCGCAGGAGAATGTCGGGCACAGTAAAGACCCCGTGCAGCCACAGAGGGGACACCGTGCAGCGGCCAGGCTGCTGACATCCCATCAGCAGTGAGAGGGAGCCAGTCGGCCTGGGTAGGAAGGTCCTTTCTATCACCGAGATAAACACAACTGGACCTGACACAACCTCACCCGAATGCCCCTCCAGCCCCAGCCCAGCGGTCCCCCCAGGCTGGGCTCACTCACCCCTTATGAGCTGGCTACATGGCCCCAGGCGGAGAGACCTCATCCCAGACACAGCGGGCCTGCCGGTCTCCTCCCAGCATCTCTGAGAAAGCGTGGCACATTTACACTCTACAGATGAACCTGGGCTCATCAAGACCTGGGAAGATGGGGCACGACTGTCCCCTTCTTGCTCTAGGCTCTGATAGGGGGCAGGCAGATGGAGGCTCCCTCCATGCCTCCCCCATCCGGTTCCTTCCTCCTCCCTTCTTCCTTCCTGTCCAGCACTCCCGTCCTGCCGCAGGGCCTTTGCACCTGCTGGAACACTTCCCCAGATCTTCACAGGGCTGTCTCCTTCTCATCAGTCAGGCTTGGTTCAGGTCTCCCCTCAGAGAGGCCTTCCCTGACACCTCTGCAGGGCTGCCCCCTCGCCCCCACACGTCCACTACCTCACCTGAGTTGCTTTTCCGTGGAGCACTGGTTGCACCTGCGCTCATCCCGTGTTGCTTCTCGTTCTTGTCTTTCTGTGCACTGCTAAGCCCCAGATGGAGCCCAGAACAGCGCCGGACACTTTGCAGGTCTGCAGCAGACCTTTGAAGGTTTGCTGACTGGCCTGCGAGAGAGAGCCAGCGTCCCCACCTGCCCTCCTGCCGCCCTAAGTCCGATCCGCTCCTCGTGCATGAGCTCGGCTCCGTGTGGCGGGATGGCCCCTGGGCAGGGCTTGGTGGGGACCTGCCCCTGCCAAGTGGCTCCAGTTAGTAGCTCCCCTGTGTGTGCCGTGTGAAGTATCCGAGGACTGGGGGCTGTCTGGAGCCTGTCCCACAGCAATAAGCATGGTTATGGTACCCGGGACCTCCCTCCATCCATGAGGTGGATGCATCACAAAATGACCCAGGTCCCTCGCAGCGCGACCACAGCTCTTCCCATCTACTCGACATGGAGTAGACATCCCTGCCCTGCATCCGGGCCGGCCCTGGGACTTGCTGTGGGTGCAGTGGAAGTGATGTTGGCCAACTCTGAGCCTGGACAGGAGAGGCGTCAGCTGCGCCCGCTCTGCTGTCCAGCCAGCCGGCTGGAGGATTCCCGTGGGGCAGCCTCCAGTCGTGCGAGGGGCCCAGCCACAGTCAGCAGAGCCTCTGACCACAGACCCAAAAGCAAGCCCAGTGGGACCAGAACTGCCCGCCTAAAGAACTGTGAGCCAAACAACGGTGGTTATTTCAGCAGCTAAGTTTTGGGGTGGTTTGTTATGCAGAAATAGCTAACTGATACATTTGGGTGTTTAGAGCCACAACATGTGGGAGCTGGAATGGGCCTGCCAATCGCGCCGATCAGATCACACAGATGGCAAGTGTTAGTTGCCTCTGAGGCTCCTGCCTCTCTGCTCCTCACCCCTCCTGCGGGGGTGGCTCAGCGTGAACAGGCGCGCCTACCTTAGGGAATGCGTTCTCAGGAAACCAGCAAGGACACACGCAGACAGTTACCTCCGAGAACGTTTATCACCGCATTGCTTATGAGAGTGACAACAGGGGGGCCCCGGTAGAGGGCCCGTTAAGGAAATTCTCGGGTCGACGCAATACGACGCAGACCTAGAAATCGTGCTGTAGGGACATTAGCCGCAGAAACTGTTTTTCAGTATCTACTCGCATCATCACAGGCCCCACAGCGATTGCACCACTGGGTGCAGACACGGGGGCAGGAGCAGCAAGAACAGGAATACGCATCAGCCGCTTGGTCAAAAGGCCACACTGGAAGCCATCCAGATATCTATCAGGAGCTGACGGGGCCAATGGGTCGTGGTATACGAGACGGCAAGGGAATAAACCACCCTACAGCGGCGTGCACCGACACGGATGAAGCTCATGTACAGCGGAGCGACGGACACCAGACCCCAAGAGCACATGCCATGCAATTCCACGTACACGAAGTTCAGAAACAGGCCGAGTGGTGCTGGCCCCTGACTGTAGGACGCTGGTCGCCCTGACGGAGAGACCGCGAGGGGCCCAGGGCCCGGGGCAGCTCAGGCAACGTTCGTGACCTGGCACACTGTGCGAGTTCGAGCCGTGGACTTCCATGTGTGGTACTTAAACACCCACTAACTCCCAAAAATGAGCCCCTGGAACAC